CTAGTCTTAGACAGCACTGTGTGTGGGGTGAACCCCAAGTGCGCAATTCCCGAACGCATCAGCCTGCCAATGGCCTCAGACGTGCGCTTAGCCTTCCTCCCCGAGGACACGCGCTCGTCATTTGTGGGGGCAAGCTTTGATTTGAAAGCAGCGCATAAGCAGATCCAAGTGCACCCCAGTGAACATGGCCTGCTTTTGTTTCGGGTTGCCGATGTCCTGTACCATTATAGAGTGTGCCACTTCGGAGCACGCTTCTCTGCATACTGGTGGCAGCGCACCGGAGCATTCCTCCTGAGACTACTGCGCGGCATTTTGGGACTGCACCCGCATCGCGCATGGTTGTTCGTAGATGACCTTTTAGCCGCACTGCATCGCAATGACGCAGACTCGCAGCTGGCCCTTTTGGTCATGTTTTTTGCAGCCATATCGGCCCCGATCTCCTGGAAGAAAGTTCAATTTCAGGACAACCTCACGTGGTGTGGGTGGCGCATTAATTTCCTGCACGAGACCATCGAGCTCACGCCGGAAAAAACCATCAAATTGAAAAGACAGTTGCACGAGCTGCTCAAAACAGGAAAGGTCAAGCGCAAACTCCTAGAGCAGGTTCTAGGACTTCTCATTTGGGCTACCAGCCTGAGCCCCGAACTCAGATCCTGGCTAGCGCCATTGTACACAAACCTGCACTCGCCGCCGGGTTGCATGCTCTCTGTCCATGCGCGTTTATGGCCATCTTTCCTTTCAGCATTAGATGCCAAAGCCGTGCTCAAATCAGCAGTGCATGGCATTTTTATGCCGCTAGGCTCTAAAGTTCTAGAGTTCCAAGGGGCATGCGTTCGGACGCCAGCCGACCTGCCTCGCGTTGTGCCTAGCCACAAATCCGCTTGGGTGCGCATAGCGGACGCCTCCGCAGAGCACACTCGCCTGTCCAAGATGAGCGAACACAGCGTAGAATGGCTGCTGCAATGCTTCCATCTAGACCTTGCATGCCCGCTGAGAAGCAAACCAATGCTGGCTTGCAAGGCCGCCGCGGATGCATGCGCCGAGGGCAGTATAGTAGGCATAGGAGGTTGGTTCATCTCCCGCAACTCCGTTGCGTGGTTCGCAGAGACATGGCAATTCCAGGAAGTCCAGGAACAATGGCCATGCCTGACCAAAGAAGCCCAACGTTACATCGCATGCTTCGAAACCTTGGCCCAACTAGCACTCATGCGGATCGCGTGGTCCTGCGAGGGACAAGGCGTGCATGGCATTTGCATGCCCACAGGAACAGATAACACAGCTTCCGAAGCCGGTGTTAATAAGCTGTTCACCACTTCTTGGCCCTTGCAAGTCTTTGTGCAACTTGTTGCTGCCTGGGCCCATAAGTACAAATGGTCCGTGATCGCATCACACATCCCAGGGGAGCACAACATCTGGGCAGACCAGCTTCAGGCCGCATGATTTCTGGCCTCACGCATCAGCTCTCACACTTCACCCTGCGGACGCACCGTGGAGACCCGAGCACGTGGCTGCTGCGCAAACGCACTAAAGAGGGGGTAAGGTGATTTGACCGTTTGCTTAGAACTCTAAAGTGGGGGTATTCCGACAGGCTCCGCATGAGATGCAGGAAAATGGAGTGGACGCGCATCGTCGCTCCACCTGCATCTCTGAGCCTGCACTTCTAAGCAACGCTCAAGTAAAAAAGCGCGTATCGAGTTTGCTCCGGTCGGTTGCTTTTTTCCCTGCATGTCCCTTTAGGCTTGAAGCAGTGACCAAGATTCTAACGCTAGGGGTTTGTCTTTTCCCCTGTGTTTTAATCTTGGTTGAATCTTCGGCCGCGTGCCATTTCTGCTTCAAGCCTTTTGGTAAGGGACATGCCTGGAGGGTTTGACCCCTCTTTCGTTCTTTTTTGAACCCACCCTCCCACCCTTTCACGGCCCAGGTGGCATGCAGCCTCCACAAGGCCTGATTGAGAGACGCATGCGCCCGCATGAATGGAAGCTGGTCAGCTCCCAACATTTCGTTGGCTTACTGCATCTCGATACTCCCGCAGGACCATTTCGAGCATACGCAGCGAGGCCCACGCAGTGCACGCAATCGCACATTGACGAATGCCATCGGCATTATGCCGGCCCGGACTGGCCCCCTGCAGGAGGACGCATCCTCCCATGCACACTCATGCACGCATTGCATACATGTGCAACATACCTCTTTTTCGTCTCACACCCCACGGGTAAAACACCCTGTGTGATGGTCGAACACGCAATGTTGACCTCAGGGGGGGTATTCCGACAGGCTCCGCATGAGATGCAGGAAAATGGAGTGGACGCGCATCGTCACTCCACCTGCATCTCTGAGCCTGCACTTCTAAGCAACGCTCAAGTAAAAAAGCGCGTATCGAGTTTGCTCCGGTCGGTTGCTTTTTTCCCTGCATGTCCCTTTAGGCTTGAAGCAGTGACCAAGATTCTAACTAGTACGCAAAGTACAGGCTTCAGCTCTAGCTGGGCAATCGCAGCTGTGTAGCGCAAGTCTAGTGCGCGAAGTACCAGCTCCAGCTGGAAAATACAACTTTGTAGTACACGTCTAGCGCGCGAAGCGCAGGTGTCCAGCTCCAGATTGAAAATCGTAGCTTTGTAGCAACGAGTGCAGCACGCAAAGTACAATTTTACAAGCTGAGAAAACGTAGGCTTCATTGCGAGCCCCATTGGCTTGTACCGAAAATGTTCTCTCTAATTATTTTCTTGGGTTTGGGCAAAGTGCTGTGCATTCGGGTTCGTGGGCTCTGTGTTGTTTTTTCAGTCTCGAGATTCTTAGGTCCCAATTGCTTGCACACATTCATGCCTGTCACTGGCGCAGTTTCCAACATCGACATACATGAGCCGCAGTCTTACACCGTTCCAAGAACAGTAGGCGAGGTTCATATTCATTCAATCGTGCAATCAATGGCCACCGCGTGGAACGTGCCGGCTGTTGCTGTCATAAAAACTCCGTTCAGTAGCCTGGGGCTAGACACGATTACAGTGGGTTCTGATGTTGTGTTCTTTGCCATTTTTGGCTATTTGTCTCACACATGGAGATGGCCTTGGCTCAAGGTGCTTTATGATACATGCACGCACGCATATGTAGGCACACAGCCACTCACGTGGGCGTGGTAGAGCCAGCAAGTTGCAGTTTTGTTGTTGAAGAATGGTCGCCACTTTGAAAGTATTTGTTTGCAACTTGTTCCGTTGTATGCCGGGCACAGGCTGATTTAGCAATGAGCCAGATTCTGGATGACTACAACATTTATTGGACAGTTGTGGGCGGTGCCGAAAAAGGTGGTATTGTAGTTCGAACAGAGGAGGACACCAGCTCCCTGTCTACAGGACGCTTGGCCACTGGATCGGTGGTGCGGGAAAAGAGGCTAAACGGGGATCGCTTGCAATTTCAGAAGGTATCAGGTGTCGGGCCCGAGGATGGTTGGCTAAGCTTGAAGTTGGCCAGTGGCAAGGAACTGGTTAAGACCCTGGACACGCTTTGGCAGGTGATTGGCGGTGCCGAGCGGGGGGGCATTATTGTGCGCGAAGAATGTCAGGTTGCGTCTCGTGAATGCTCTGAACGTCTTGCCACGGGTTCCATTGTGCAGGAGGAGGTCAGTCAAGGAGAACGTTTGTGTTATCGTTTGGTCGATGGGAGTGGGCAGCCCCGTGGCTGGGTTAGCCTAACGTTGCAAGGGAGACCGTTGCTTAGACGGTTGGGGACGACAAACGTGCAGCGCTTAATGAAATCTGTACATGATCTTGGCGATGCTGCGATAGAGACCTCAACAAAGCTGCTTGAACGATTTACCTTGGCAGAACAACATGAATGTGTCGGCCAACTGGGCTCTCTCCTCGCAAAGGTTGACTTCCGCTTGAAGCGGAAGGCGCTTCGTCTTTTGGCAGCCATGACAACACCAGGTCGTCTCAGACTTTTTGCACTGGGTCTCAAGGATGCCGATATGACAGTCCAATGCGAGGCCGCTTTGGGGTTAAGCGGTGGCCCAGCCGAGGCAATCGGTTTGCTGCTGGAAGCTTTGCAGTCGGACGCGTGGCAGGTGCGTGCCTGCGCTGCGCGGGCGCTGCAATGCCAACGCACCCAACTCGATTTGGATTCCGATGAGAAGCTACGGGCGGCCATGGCTGCGGAAGTGGACCCCGACGTCAAGCGCCTACTTGGCGCCATTCTGAGTGAACCTGTGTCAGAGCTGCCTCAGCTGCCCGCGGCGTGTCTGTCAGATGGACAGAAGCTGCGCGTTGTTGCGGTCCATGGTGCCCGGTCCAATTCCAGCATCATGAAGTTTCAGGTCCGACTCCTGAAGAAAGTCCTTGGGGAAGCTGACTGGTTTTTCGCGGACTCGCCTATGATTTTCCATCCAGTGCCAGGCGCAACTGATCCCATCTTCGGGGAGCCAGGTGAGATTGAGCAATCTCTGTCAAAGGGTCAGCCCTTCCGCTGGTGGTATTCTCATGGCAATGGCTGCTACAATGATGTAGAAGAGGGTGTGAACAATTGGCTCAGCGTGCTAGAGGAGCATTCACCCATCGATGTGTTGGTTTCCTTTTCGCAAGGATCCAACTGCTTGTCTTTGGCTCTGGATGCCTTGCGCAGGAGCCACAAGGCCCCTTGCTGGAGGGTTTCTCTGATGTGCAGCGGTGGACAAATCGACGATCCGATTTTCCAATGGCCAGAGGGCTGGACTTGTTCACACCCGACTCTTCGCATGTTCAACGCGGGTGATGATGCCTTCTTCCACGGATCTGAAGGATCGCTGAAGCACATGTATTCCGACCTTGTTGAGATAGAGCATGGCGACGGGCACATGTTTCCTCACACAGAGCCTCATGCATCCGAAATCTATGAAAGGATCGCGCAGGAGATTCGCCTGCGATGTAAAAGGGGACGCCAAACATGGGCATTTCTGTAAGTTGATATGTCTTGATGAAGTGACTGTCAGGTTTTGAATGCTCCTTCGTTGAATCTTGCATTGACAGCTTGCTTGCAGCCTGCTGGCTTCAACCACAGTTTCACCCATGGCTCGCGCGCGTCGCTGAAGGCACACAGCCACAGTAAGAGCAAGTGGGTTGCCAGTATCTTCACAAGGCCATGTGGCCTCAGCGATGAGGTGCGATGGGGCGTTCTCTTCTGACTGAGTCTTTTCAAGCTCGATCGTTCAGCAGCGAGCCTTTCCCTTCGGAGTCGAATTTGGCAGACCTGAGAAGTCCAGCCGTGGCAAGAACGGAGTACGGCGCTTAATTTGGCGAGGAACGCCATCGGATGTTGTTGGCTTGCAGGTCCGGAGCCGGGACAAGCCCGAAGGGGACAGCTCCAGGAGACGGTGGTGTCGGAAATTGCCCGAGTTGCGCAGTGTCCAGGACAGATGAGACGGCCAGTTCCGGCACCGGCAGCCCTGGCCGTTTAGAGCTGATTGAGTTGCATGTGGTCATGAGGCATTCCAAGTGAGAGCCTTTTCAAAGTTTCAGGCTCTCGCTCTCGGCATGTCGCTGGCCTAGATCTTCGAGTTGCACCACTTCACAGCTTTGGCCGATCGCTTTCGGGTCCAGGATTGGCAGGATTGGCCCAAGAGATCAGAGACGGAGTGCTCTGGGTGGCTCGATGTATGTGTATTCACGGTGTGACTGCCAGGTATCCCAAAATGGAGAAAGTGAATGCCAAGCCACCGCCGCCACCGCCACGAGAGGATTGGCAACCAACCATGGACTGGCCACCGCTTTCCAGGCCGATCTGGACTGCCGGCAGTTATCTTAGTCTTATGGGACTGGGTTTGTTTTGGGAGTGCAAATCGTAGTTGCAGGCATATTTGGTGGTCCCTGAAAGTGTAGAGATAAAGAAGACAGAGAGAGAGGGGCAGTGCTTTGTGAGCCAGGAAAGCTGGCCCACGGGAGGTGAGGGAGGTGAAGGAGGCGCGGCACCGTGAGAGCCATGGAGCCGTGTCGGATGCATGTGGGTGTGCCTTTTTAATGGGTGTGGTTAGACGGGAAACCACACCATTTGGGGGTCCCCTAGAAAACAGACACACCCACGTCGGATGCACGTCGGATGCACGTCGGATGCACGTCGGATGCACGGATGCACGGATGCACGGATGCACGGATGCACGGATGCACGGATTGGCCGTCGAGCGAGCTGAAGTCCAGGATGCGAGCCAGTCTGAAGATCGGATGCCCGTGGAGTTCAGCGGTTGCGTTGAGCCCGAGCCGCCCGAGCCGCCCGAGCCGCCAGAGCCGCAGCAGAGGCCCCAGGATGCGCCATGCCGTGCCAAATATGATTGCCCGATTGCCCAGGCCAAGGGAGGCAGGGCCCCAACGGCAGACACTGCCCTTGATGCCAAACCTGTGACTCAGGCCAGCTCCGTTGCCAAGAAGAAGCGCAAGGAGGGCTGGCATAGACAGTGAATTCAATATGGTGTTGACACCGTTCTGTTCTCTTTGTTGGAGTGTCAGGTGGGCAAGACTTATCTCACGGGCGATGAGATCTTGAGGCAGCTGCTACAATTCGCAGGGCCCTCATTTCAAGTCACATTTCAAGTCACAGACAGACCGAATGATCCGAATGCTTTGAAAGGTCCGGAGCATGCCCTTCGATTCCTGGGGGGCCTATGTGTACTGTTTCGAGCACAAGTCCGAGTTGTTGAAGGCGAAGTCTTGGCCAAGCATTGACTCGAAGACTTGCAATTTCGCTGGACAGGTGACGCAAAACTCCAATTCAAGGTTCGAAGTCAAGCTGAGAACTTGGTCTCGTATGAGGGCGACACTGAATGTTTGCCATGCCGAGGCTCACCATACCTGCAGTATTTCTGTATCTCTTCAAGCTGGAGCAGGAAAAAGAAAGGTGGTTGGAGAGCTCTTCCAACAAAGACGAGGTGCGCGAAACGCATTGCTCGAAACAGCAAACAGCCACGGCAAACATTTTGGGCCCTTAGGCCAAAGCAGTCCTGGCGCACAAGCTGGTGGACCTGCTGCTTCAGCAGGGCGTCATCAGCGACCGAGTGGCCGAAGGCTTTTCGACATTTCGGCTTTTCGGCTTTTCGGCTTTTCGGCGCGTTCGGATGTCTTGTCTTCCAACTGTCGCATAGGTGGGACCTTGAACCTTCCGAAGCAGCCGACCATGCCGTGGACGGCTCATGAAACGGCATGGCACGGCACGGCACGGCTGGACGGCACGGCTGGACGGCTCTAGGCCCAAAGTGTGGAAGTCGAGCTTTCCGACCTCCGGCCACGGCGGCAAGCTGCGTGGCTCTCGGCGACTGCGGACTCCGGCTTCGTTAGCTTCGTTATCGCCAGCTTTCGCCGGCTTTCGCCTCTTCGTCTAGGAAGGCAACACGTGACCAGCGGCTGCGACTACGAGCCAGCCAGGCCGTGACAGAAGAGAATCATCAGACTTAAACACAGTTGGCAGGAGGATGGGGAGGATGGGGTGAAATTGTTCATCCTGGAGGAGACATGGGGTTTGCTCGGCAAGTTAAGCCGCATGTTCGAGCAGGAAATCGCATTGGCCAGGTCTGGCGACTACTTTGCCAGCAGAGCACTCGTATCAGCGCTTGCCCCAACTTCCTACGCGTAAACGGTGAGTGTCTTCGTCCCGTCAGGCTCACTCTGGACGACACCGAGTTTCGCTTGGAGGCGAGCATGCCTTCCTTCACCGTGTCGCCTTGCGTTCGCCTTGCGTTCGCCGCGTCAGGTTACGAGTGCAGAATGGACCAACGAGCATGTGGATGTCGTCCTGAAGCTCCTTGCCTGACATGTCAAACATGTGAAATCTGAGTGTCACACATCCTCCGGTGCCAAACCAGGTTCAATTTGGAAGTTTTGGGATCAGGCCGTTGACTCAGACTCGGAAGGCGTCCGATTGCCCATGTTTGAGGTGACTTTGAAGTTCTTCTGGTCAAGGCACCTGGGTTTGAAGAGCGAGGGTCCTGGTTACCCGTGCGCAGGTCAAAGATGGCAAGATCGACCTGGACGCCATGAAGGCGACCCTTTGGACCCTTTGGACCCTTTGGACTCCTTCCGACTCCTTCTCGAGGTTCGGAAAGCAGACGACCGGCCGGGAACCTGAGTGCCTGGGATTGGCCCACTTTGCGCCCCAAACAAGATCTTGGGATCTTGGGATGCTCCGTGCCGAAACTCCGAAATTCCCAGGGCTGTTGAGTCAATGGGTTCTGGGATGGGGTTCATGATTGGCTGTTGAGCCATTTGCCAACACTGCGGCTTTTGGGCCATTCACTCAGCCCGTGTTTGCCGAGCCACGGTTTGGCTGTGGCTTTTCAGCACCAGTGTTCCGAGCTAGAGTTGCGGCGTAGCAACTCACAGGTCTGGAGTGTTTGGTGTTTCACCGAGTGTTTGGCATTTTGTGGGTTTTTGGTCAAGCGTCAAAGCGTCAGGGCAGTTTTCAATGAATTGCCGTTTGGTCAAGCGACCGGTTGGTCAAGGCCACCACCGCAAGTGAGAGACTTGATGCACAAGATGGACCGGCTGAGCTGGTGGGAGTTGGCCTCGCGCTGAGTCTTCAGAGTCGTGTTGTCGTGTTTTCTGCTTCAGGGACGTCAGCTTGCTTCACAGCTTCGGGCACTGGAGAGGGATCCAACCCCAGGTCAGAAAAAAGGCGCCCGTGGCACGGGACTCAGAAACGGGGGGGGCGGGGGGGCGGGGAAGGGAGAAAAACAACGCGACGGAGAAAGGGGGAAACGTCTCTGTCCCAGTTCAGTCTCTCGCGAGGTTCCCGCTGCCTGCCCTCTGAAATTGCACAAGATCTTTGATGAGCCGCAGGCGCACGAAAAGCAGGCAGGCACGCGAAGGGCTGAGGGTTTCATTCGTCAGCTGATTGGCGTGGAGGAGTTTCAGGAGGACGTGTACTGCATGGCCAAGCTCGGGCCGAGATCTCAGAACACAGCAACTACGGCAACTTGGATCTTTGGGTTTTCATGTGGCGAAGCATTGAACACTTCCCCACACCAATGTCGAGGAAGGATTGCCTGCGGCTGATGGCAGCTGTTACGGAATACGACAGGCAGGGTCCGCATGCTGCCCTTGTCTTTCTCTTGTCGATGTTTAGGTTGTCTAAAGCGAAAGATTCGAAAGCACGGGATGCACTGCTGAAGAAGGTAGAGGTGCGGTTTGGGTGTCTGGGTCAAAGAGCCGCTGGGTTCTTGTGCGAGGATTACCTGGACCCGGAGAGGATTGCCGATCTCATGGCCTTCGCCTCAAGCCCGTCTTTGCAAGCATTCAGATATGGGTGTCATTTTCCGTATCGGACGTTGAGGCCCGTTCCCCACTGATCCAGCTCGGCACAAAGTCGAAGGTTAGCCGGGGGCTCGGGTTGCTGGGAGGCTGGGAGGCTGGGAGGGAGGCTGGGAGGCTGGACCGAGTCAGGAAACGAAAGACCATGTCAGGACTAGAGGCATGTCAGGCAAAGTGATAGAGATTTAGAGAAAAGCACAGCTGCGAGTCAGGAAGCAGCACAGGGTGGGTTTCGGTTTCCGGTTGATTGAGGATGGGTTTGGGCTTGGTTCAGATTGGGGCTTCAGGTCTCTTTGGGGATGAATTTGGTTTTAGTTTTGGTTGGTTTGGGTTGGTGTGTGTGTTGCTAGCCGAGGCTTTGATTTCTGGTTTTGTTTCAGGTTTTCGGGTTTTAGATTGAGTTGCTGAGGGTGTAGTCTATGCTTGGCGCGGGTTTGGGTTCAGGATTCAGGTTGGTTCGGGGTTGACTTCGGGCAGGTTTAGCATTGCTTTTTTGTGGCTTAGCCTGGGTTTAGGCTTCATGTTGGTTTCGGTTTATTTGGTTTAGGATGGTAGCTCAAGGTTGGGTCGGCTTGGCTTTTGTCTTCGAGAGGCTTTGCTTCGGGTTTAGTGTTGCTTTTGTCTGCTTGCTTTCTCGGCTAGGTTGGTTGAGGGGTTTGTGTAGTGCTTGCTTTTGATTTGTTTAGGATGGGTTTGGGGCTAGATTGGGATTGATTTGGTTTGGGTTTGCTTTGAGGTGGGTGCAGGTTAGGTTCCGGGCGATTCAGAGTTTCGGTTTCTTTAGGGTTTAGTTTGTTTCGGCTTGATTTCTGTTCGTGATTATGGTTGTTTTTAGGTGTTTGGGGTTAGGGTTGGGTCAATCAGTGCGAACTTAGAGGCTTGAATCGTGTTTTTTTTAGGTTTGTTTTCTGGCTGGTTTATGGTTTGTGTAGGTTTGGTCTGGAATTGTCTGGCGTTGCCACGCGCCTTCAACGGCAGGACATTGCCAAGTGGGAAAATGGGTCAAGGGGCTGATCCCTATTTGCGGAGAACGGGTTGCGGAACTGTTTATGGTTGCGTGTTGGTTTAGGAGGGGTGCCGGCATTTCTTTTGGAAGCTGCAAAAGTGGCAGGTTCTATGAGTTCAATCCACCTTTAAGCTGCATAAGGGGAAATCCAGTGATCCATGTTTAAGTTTGCAAAGTTCATAGGATGGGTTTTGGTTCCGTTGGGTTCGTTTGTCGGCTTAGAATGGCGCTCTTTCCTGAGTCACTGAACCCAGACTCTACTTTTTCCCTTCGCGACCTTGTACATCGTACAACTCCCTCCTTTGCTTCCAGACTTGAGCCCACTTGTTTCCTGACTCAGCTCAACCTGTTTGTTGCTGTTTCCTTGGCAAATTCCACATGTAACTGGCTGTGTCTGGATGGTTGGCATCCTGCTGCGCAAGCTTCTGGTTCGAAGGCATGAACCGAAGAATCGACATGCCAGGGAGACACCGGGCACGACAATCGGGTTGGAAATTGCAGAGCCATGTGTTCAACCTCTAGCTGTAAGACCTTTCAAGTATCACAGAGCGCCATGTTCGTAGCTTGTGGGGACATGAGTTGATAAGCATGATAAGAAAGTTGGATGGTGGGCCCGCGTATGGTGACAGCACCAGTCTGCGACCCGAGCTGTGAACACTCTGAAGAGGAGCCAGATGAAGGCTGGGTTGGGGAGCAGTACTTCACCTCACTCCGCATAAACTTCACCATGCTTCGGCACATTCCGCACTTTCAAGCAGGAAGCAGTGAGGGAAGCGCCAGCGTGGCAAACGACAGCCAGGGCCCCAAGTAAGACGTCCCAGATCTCTACGCCAACTCGCCGCCCACACGGCAGGCAGCGCCAGCTGGCCGAACGACGCCACACACGGTCGACACAATCGAGCGTGGCTCCGGTTCTGGGTCTGGTCGTTGCTTGGCTGGGGACCGATGTTCGATGTGTGTCTTGGGCAAGGTCCAAGCTGCCCAGGTTCCTGACCTCCAAGACTTATGCAGGCGATGACCCTCGCAGATCCTGGATCTTATGGCAGCGCACCTAGACAAGCGGAGCAGTGATGGTGCCAATACCTTGGCCAAGGCTATCGGCCAGTTTCTACCAATTTATCATGGCGTCTGCCGTGGTGTTTCTCTTGGTGCTGGACAGCACAACAGATGTCCTGAGACTCAGTGCTACTGTTTGAAGCATTTCAAGCTAGACTTGGCGCTTTCATGAGGTTACAGTAACCACAGATGAATACTGGATTGCCGAGCTTGTGCCGGCCTTGTTCAGCACTCAACACAGAAAGAAAGGCTTGTACAAGACGCAGAGACGCAGAGCTAGTTGGATGCGAGGTGCTCACCTGCGTTTGGAGCGTTGAGTACTTCTTGCGGCTTTGGAGTTGCGTGGAGGCTTGCGCATTGCCTCCCAACCTTTGGAGCGTTTTTATTGCGTTGATATCCACCTTGATTGCTTTATTTCAGGGCGAGCCGCACGTGCCCAAGTCTGGCTGGCGGCGTTGCCGAGTGCCTCGGAGCTGACTCCCATCGGATTGCTACTGGATCGTGTTTCTTTCACCAGCGAACAGTCAAACATGGAGGTAGCGTATCCGTTTGATTTGCTTTACGGGGGATTGGTTGTGGGGTCTATGAGCTCTACGCTATCCTTGAGGATGCTGAGCGTGATCCGACGCATGAGGTGCGGGTGCGCTGCGCTCTCCATCCCTTGATGCTGGTAGACCTTGTGTATCCTGGCTGAAGACATCTTTTTTGGAGCTACTGATACTTGGGAGCCTTGCAAATCCAAGGTCTTTGGTTTCCTTGCTGGTGGTGTCTTGCATTCACTATATTGATTTATTTTCTCTTTTGTTTTTCCGCCTGCACTTTATCGTTTCATTGCACTTCATTGAGCTCCTGACTAAACTTTTTACTTTTCTCGCCATATCACTTCATTGTACTCACCCTTGAAGGACCTGTCCATTGACTCCAACGAGCTGCGCGGGCTTGGTGCCCTGCGCATGCTCCGCGTCTTCACGCTGCTCCGGTTGGAGCGCGCGACTTGGAGTCAACCGAGTCCGGGAAGAAACACAAGAGCCGGGGAACCCAAAACCAAGCTGTAAATTACTTTTGGCACAAACGCTGGCAATGTCGCTTGCCTGTCACCCCACGGCGCCATGGTCACGTTCTCGCCGGACCAAATCCCACGGGCACTGGTGAGACGGACAAAGACCTCTGAAAGACCTCTGCAAGACAGTGAGACCTTTGCAAAGCCACGCAACTATCCAAACTCTCGCGCAGGTCTCGCAGAGGTCTCGCAGAGGTCTCGCGCAGAGGTCTCGCAGATGTCTGTCTGTCTCCCCACAGGTGTGGGAGAGAGTTTTCATTGCGCTCTTTCCTGGATTTCCTGCGATCGGTCTTCTTGCTAATGTCGGAAAGCAAGCGCCGAAAGAGGTTTCACAAAGCTTTTCGAGCATCTAAGACCAAAGTCACTACCCCACATTTTGTGCTCCAGACGACCCGTCAAACTGCTAGATGCTTGCAAGTATTTGCCTGCAGCTCGAATAAATTTTGGAGCTAGTGCCACCCACGCCGACTCCGGAACTCCCGCGCACGAGTTTTGGGGTGTGGCGGTCCTGATCAAAGCGGCAAACTAAACTGGCTGCCAAGAAAGCAAAGCGTTGATGTTCACAAGTTTCACCTTAGACAAAGATACTGGCGCAAACCAAGATCCGTCAAAATTGATCGCGGCGCACCCGCAGAATTGCCGGGTTTCTGCAGCAGCCAAATATGCACAAATTCAGGCGCCCTCGTATAAAACTAACCCTTGTATAGCCCTTATATAGCCCTTATATAGCCCTTATGTAACCTTTCTATATCCATTGGCTTCTGGGGGTAGTTGCTTTGGGGGTGGTCAATGTAGTCTTAGAGAGCAGGTTGTTTCTTGTTTCTTGTTTCTTCAGCCAATCGCTGGACTAGCATGATGTCCTTAGAGCGGCGGGGGACCTCTGCAAAGCCTCCTCTGCCGAGACCTCGTCGAGACCTCTGGCACATGCGAAGCGCGTTCTCGCGAAGGTCTTGCAGAGCTCCGGCGCTCTCCGTCGGACGCTCCTTTGTGTCCGGCGCACGAACCCACCTTCTCGTGAAATCCCACGCGGCCCTCCTTATCGCTCATGGCCCCACCTCCAGCCACGTTCTCGACGGAGGTTTTGCGGCCTCCGAGGCAAAGCCACCGCACAGACGTCCTGCGTCGGTACTGCCTCTGCCCCAAATCCCACTGCGCGAATGATATGACCTACGGCTCAGCTCGGGCGATTCCCAGACAGCGGTTACACGGTCTGCACTCTTGGAGCGCGCCAGGCTTCCAATCCTCGCTTGGCTCACCTAAATGAGAACCCCAGAGCCGAGAAAAGCGAGCTGTTTCAGTTGCATGGGACAGCCCTTTGGGTTTCGGTGGCGGCATAGCTGACATCTTCAAAGCGTCGGATCAAAGCCGTCTTCAAAGCCGTGCTTTAAAGCCGTGAAGCCGTAAGGCCGTTAAGCCTTTTATCTTCGCACTTGCGCTGCTCCAAGCAGACCGTGCGCTCAGACACGCGCTGGCACTTGCTCTCCTGTCAGCCGGTTTTTGATTCTTCTTTCTTCTCTCTCTTCCTTTTTCCTCCTTTTCTCTTTTTCTCTCTTTCTCTTTCTCCATTTCGGATTTCGGGAAGGGGCTATCGGTTGCCTGCGCGATAGCCGCATTTGCCGTTGGGATGATGCTCGTGTCAGATCGTACGTCATGCGAGAGAGAGAGAGAGAGGTTCTGCCTCAGGACTGGCAAATTTGCGATCCACTGCTGAACGTGGTTGTGAAAGAGGTTGGCGTCAGCTTGTTGGAGCGCTTGAGTTGGATCTTGTCCCGCAACGTTTTTTTGTGGCAGGCACGGCTTCTGGGCGGTGCTGTTGCGATCGCCCTCACAATGCTGGTTTGCTGTTCAGTGGTTATGTTTTACGTGGAGGCTCCTTCGAATCCAAAGTTTGGCACCTTGGCTAGAGCTGGGCAAAGAGGGTGAAAATAATATGGGCACACTATACTGTGAGTTGGTTGTGTTATGAGCGCTTGCAGGTACCGTGGCAGACTGCTTGTGGTGGGGGACAACTGCACTCACTACCGTTCCTCAGCATGGCATCGCATTTGGCATCATATGGCATCATGTGGCAGCATATGGCATCACATGGCATCCATATGGATTTTCGGATTTTCGGATTTTCCGGGGAGGGCTTGGCGTCGAGGTCGGCTACGGCGACCTCTACCCAGAGAGTCCTTTAGGCCGCGTTGTGGCGAGCATCACCGCGTTTCTAGGAGCCACGGCCGTGATTGAATTTTTGCCAGTCCAGTCCTTGCTTTTCTTCTGGTTCTTCTGTTCTTCATCTTCCTGAGTTCTCCTTTTGCTTCCAGTGCTTCCAGTGCTTGTGTTGATTGAAGGCTTCCTTGCTGTTGAGAAAAGGCTTCTCGCAATGAAGTGGTCCTCTCCTTCCCAGGCATCGGACTCTTTGCTTTGCCAGCGGGCATCATTACCAGCGGTTTTCGAGATGAACAAGAGCGGAAGTACCACAGGCAATGGCAACACGTTGCCAACATTTTGAGCCGCACACCTGTCGCATGAGTAGGATTGTGCAGATTGTCAATGAGAACAATGACGAAGGAGTGGCTTAGCTGGCTTATTCGGTGCTGATTGGTGATCGTCATTTTGGGTGTGGGTGCCAAGCTTTGATGCTGAGGATGTGAAAGATCTTCTTCTAGCTTTGCGAACGCAAATGGTGGCATTTGAAGCCCGCCTGCAGGTGCCCAGGACTTGCGAATCACTCTGCAAGCTTTGCATTGCCAGGCAATGCATTGCGAGCTGACCGCTCTGCGCGAGCGAGGGTGAAAAGACACGACTTGGCTTCTCGTTGCTTGCTCCTTCCGTGAAACCATTGGCAATCAGCGTCCGAGGCCAACAGGACGCCGCGGAAATGTTCTTCGCGCTGGCCGGGAGACTTGGAAGTTGCTTAAGTTTTTAAGCTTTTCCCGATTGCGAAGGGTTCTTCCGTGCGGAGCTCTTGGTCAACTTGCGCAGAGTAGCTTGCACGGAGATACCAGCATGGAGATACTCGCGCAGAGTTACTGGCACAGAGTAGCTTGCACAGAGTTACCAGCAGGGAGATACTTGCACAGAGTCACCAGCATGGAGATACTTTCACAGAGTCACCAGCATGGAGTCACCAGCATAGAGTTACTTGCGCAGAGCCAAGTGCAAAGAGCCAAGCGCATAGAGCCAAGTGCTCAGAGCGGTGCATAGAGCCAAGTGCATAGAGCTAAGTGCACAGTCACAGAGCCAAGTGCAAAGAGCGAAGTGCGTCGAGCCAGGTGCATAGAGCCAAGTGCATAGAGCTAGGTGCATAGAGCTAAGCTAAGCTAGGTGTAGATGCTCGGCGGTAGCAGCTGTGTAAGCTAGGTTAGGTAAGTTAAGTACTTAACGCGCGGGAAAGAAAGAGAAAGGAAAGCGCTCGGTATTAAGAATCTCTTTTAAGGCGGGGGGTGGGGATGTTGGTCGAGGTGCAAAAACTCGACGTTTCTTTTTTTTTGCGTTTTTTGATATGCCCTGCGTTTTTTGATACGCCCGCGCGACCCTCTGCGGAGATCTTGCGTGTCGAAGCGCTCTCGCTGTGGCGCCGTGCAATTTTGTTGCTCGCGAAATGGCCTTTGGAAGTTGTCTCGTGGTTTGCGCGCCTGCTTTCGCAATCCCGCGGTCGCGGGTTCGATTCCCCCCTGGTCTGCGGCAGCTCCGGCTTGAAAATCGCAGCTTTTACGCGGAGCGTGCTCTCGTGTGCGGAGCGTGCTCCCGCAGCTCCGGCTTGAAAATCGCAACTTTCAAGTACAAACGTAGTACGCGGAGCACACTCCCGCAGCTCCGGCTGGAAAATCGCAACTTTTAAGTACAAAAATAGTACGCGAAGTACATTCCCACCGCTCCGGCAGCACTTGCGCAGAGCAACTTGCGCAGAGCACTTGCACAAAGCACTTGCGCAGAGCAACTTGCACAGACCAACTTGCGCAGAGCGCATGCGCGCAGCGTTTGCACGGAGCAACTGGCGCAGAGCACTTGCGCAGAGCACTTGCGTGCAGCAGCTTGCAGAGAGCAACTTGCGCGCAGCAGCCTGGAACAATGCAGCTTGCGCAGACCACTTTCGTGAGAAATCGCGCGGCGCAGTTCGTGCGAAGCACATTGCGCCGAGCAGACCCGTGCAGAGCCAACTTGCGCAGAGCCAGTTGCGCAGAGCCACTCGCGCAAAGTAGCTTGCGTAGAGCCAACTTTCACAGAGCGAAGCTGCGCAGAGCCATTTTGCACAGAGCTAAGTTGCGCGAGCGTGCTTTGCAGAAACTGTGGCCGTCGTGTAAGCTTTGCTATTGATTGCTTTTCCTTTGAAATCTTTGCTATTGCTTGTAATTCGTTTCGAGCTTTACGAGCTTTACTCTTCTTGTTTTAACGGATGTAAATGCCATGATGAGATGGAGCTCTCATGTGATCATACACATTGAGCATCGCCGCGTGCAGACACGCTCGCCGCAGCGAGGTAAAAAGGTGTCTCCGCGGCTGGATGAGCACCTGGGGAAAAATGCTTTCGGGCCAATCATCCTCTAGTTTTTTTGTGTGTGTGTGTGTCCAGAATGCAAAGCCGTTTTGGAGCCGGATGGAGCGGATCTCGCACGCTGAGTTGGGGGCACACAAGCTGGAGAGCGATATGTTCACCTTGATACGGCCAGGGGCTCAAAATTTTCAAGGACTTTCCGTCGCCATGCGCGAGAGCCGAGCTGTTGGCACCCCGTCAGACGCGCCACGTGAGCCAGGCGTTCGAACGTGGAAACAGACACCTTAGTTCTTCAAGTTCGGACCTATTTCTCTGATATGTCGACGGATTCCAGCCTCATGATGTGGTGAGCCATCAGTGATGAACAGCGTTGCCGGTTCCCTTGCTCATTGCAGGGCACAAGCTTAGTCGCCAGACCTGGAGGCATTGTTCCTGCTTCCTATTGTGACTTGCACTATCGCAGTGATATTGCTAACGCCGACGCCACTTTGAGCATTCCTCATTCACTCGCTTGGTGTCTTTTTGTGGGGATTTGTGTGCAATTTAGTCTTAGCAAGTTCGTTTCAGTGAGCAATATACATGCACAGTAGCAGACAACAAGTACGCGAATACAGTTGGAGCTGCCCGAGGTGGTGTTTGTTGGAAGGAAATACTCTGAAGAGGTGTACTAAGAGAGAGTTCAGGAGCCTCTACCTAAATCTAGCCAAGTGTGGTCTGTTTTTTGCGTATGGCCCTTTTGGTCTCTTTGCGAGTGGTAGTTTGCTCAAATGGCGGTCTAGCGCACCCCAGGCTGTGGGAGTGGTTTGTGGCAGATGAGCACAACAAGCCGCCCGGCAAGTCCACAGTTTGACTCAGAGAAGCAGAGAATGAGGTGCGAGCGCTCCCTTGACCCTGCAAAGAAGTACACCGCTGGCTGTCCGCGGTACCTGGGGCGCACTCCCAGCTACATGGAATTTGGCGAGGAGTGACTGAACAGACTGAACAGACTGAGCTGAGTGGGGCCGGCAGGTGGATCCAAAGGACGGGTCCGCCCTCCATCTCAAGGTTCGATTTGAAGAGCACGGGCCTCAAACACAAGCTGTTGCCAACTTTGCAATTGCAGTCGGTGCATCTGGGGTGCCTGTGTGGGTGTGACGGAGTTCTGGATCAACCGTTCCCGGGTGCGATGTGTTGGCGCTGTTTGGTTTAAACAAGTCTCACGAACTGAGGAGCCAGACTGAGCCAAGCTCGAATGAACCCACTCGAAGGAACCCACTCGAGTTTCTCATATTTATCCCTGGGTGTTTCAAGTGTGGCTTGGATTTCGGTGTGCATTGTGCAGTTGGCACGTTCCAAGAACTCCGAGTCTTTTGTCCGAGTTGTGATGATGCCTTCTACAGATGGAACGGCCCGAATGCGGAGGACGCTGCCCAGAAATAAGAAAGCACAGCACCCGGCTTGCCAGTGCGCAAGTGCGCCAGTGCGAGGAGTTGCGGCCGGGCCTCTACGACGGCAAGAGGGAGTGGAGGCAGCTGAGAGCCAATCGCTCGAGCGCCGAACCGCCGAACCGCCGAACCGCCTGGGCGCTTCGGCGCTTCGGCGCTTCGGCGCTTCGGCGCTTCGCAGGCCCTGCCCGTGGGATCCGATACTGGGCACCTTTTGCAGTCCGCAGCATCCTCAAGGGAAAGATTCAAGACAAATCATTTGTGACGGACGGTATTGGACAAATCATTCTTGACCGCATCCCATCCAAGGTCCATGAAACTTTCAAATGGCGATCCTCGACCCTTACCCAACAAGGTGAGTGCCTGGCTGAGGCTGGGGATGGGAAAGTGGTACCCCTGACAGCAGATGGTGTCTGTTTACGAAATCTCCACTGTATTTGCTACTCCTCTTCGCAGGGGAAGATCAATGAAGAAGCTGGCCGGCTTCTCATTGTGGCAGAGCTGGGTGTGCAACAGTGGGGTCATCAACTGAGGTGAGTATCAAGCATTCCATGGAAAGCACCCCGTCGCGGCCCCGTTGGATGCCTCCATGTCGCCTTACGTGCAGTGTGGTGTGCTCCTCCGCCCTCATTGAATCGGTTGCAGGTGCTTCTTGTCTCGACTTGAACAGGATCCATCCACACAGAACAACTGTTCTGAATGATCCGGGTTAGATTCTACAACACCGGGTCCGCACAATACCCCAATTTCAGACTCTTCATGCGCCGAAAAAACCAGGCCATACTTCTACCTGCGCGAGGAAGAGCATGAAACCGACAAGGTTGAGCAACTGCCACTGCCTTAGGGCTCACAAAATCCTCCAATCCAGGGTCTCACTTGCGAGCCGAGGATCGTGGTGTACCGAAAGATCGGAGAAGTCTGCTACAGTGCTCCTTGCTTGTTGCAGGGTGGAACAATGTGGAAATAGCAAGGCAACTGATACCACCGAACCGGCTATTGACTTGAGGCACTTGCAGCACATGGTTTACGTTTGGCCAATTGGCTCTGCCCGCTCCTTCCGTAGTTTATGCTCTGCCCGCCGTGGGGTCGGCGGAGGGGCTGGGGATTGGCGGCTCAGATGCAGACTCAGCAACAGAAGACAATTCTGACTTTTTGAACATGCTGAGTTGCTCCTATATGGTGCCCGTCGACGCAATACGTGGACCCTGGCAAGATTTGGAGATAATGCAGCTCGGCAGCAGCCAATTCGCATGTCGTGCATGACAGCTGATGCGTGAGGTCCAGGATGGTTTTGGAGGATTGGGAGGAGTTGGAGGACGTGTGGCACAAGTTTGGGGCTTCAACAGAGACCGTGAAACACCTTGCTGAGGCGGCGCTGTCTCAAAATGCCAAGATGCTGTGTTGATTCACACCTTGATTGCAGGTGGAGAAACGCGGCATGGCAACGCAAGGCTCACGCGGAAGAAATTGCAATTTGCAAACATCATCTTGGTTCGTCCACACCGCAGGGCAAGTTCCCTTAGATCGGCCAGTTCGTTATGCAGCTCTTGGCGTCTTGGGCTGCATATGCGTGGCTGCGTGGCCTATGAGATTGATGCTTGTGATGGAAGCCCATGCCCGAAACGAGGCTGCTTAGCCGGAATGCTTCAGGACAGTTCGCGTGTCCCTGCTTTTGCTCGCTGGGCCTTTGCGAGGATGCCACAGCGACTCCGACTCCGTGCTTTTCCAGCTTCTGGTTCAAGGCGCGAGAAGTGGAAAGCTCAAGCCGCAAAAGCTTGCGGCGCCAGGCAGCCCTGCTGCTTGACCGCTTCAGCGCCGTGTGCGCTCCAGAGTATCTTCCGTTGACCTGTGCTTGCGTGGCAAGGCCCGGCTTTTGTTCTTTGGTTTCGTGGTGCTTCGTGCTTGACTTCCCATGGCTTGCCTCTCAGGATCGTCTTGAAGGTCGACAACAGCACGCGGCATAGGAGTATCCCCTTTCTGAGCCAGCCGCCTGTCTGCAATTTCTTGGTGGAGAAGCTCTCGCTCGATTTCTCCAAGGAGATGCCCAGCAAGGAATCTGATCAAGGAGGGGCATCTGTTTATGACTTGGAAGCCATTTAGTCACATTGCCGGCACAGCTGCTTTTGCACGTCACATGTGATGGCCTTCAGTAGATTTGGCTTGCTTGCAAGGTTGAAAGCTGCATTTTTGATCAGGAATTCGCGAAGAACTTTGCGACTGTGCAGAATTGTGCGTCAGTTGCAGTGAACTTAGTTGCTTGCAAATGTTGCTTGCAGCGTTTTAGGAGTCTTGAGTGTAGAGGCATGATTCAAATATGACCAGGGAGATCGGATCAGGATATCAACGACAAGTCCTTGCATGAGCACGAGCAGGCAATTTTGAGGGCTGTCGACTGGCAGGCGGGGTAGATTTGGTAGATTTGGATTTGCATGTGGGGTTGCATGTGCGGAAGGTGCGCCTGCCAGGTGACCGATCCATGCGTGGAATTATGGTGCTCGAAATTTTTCACTCGGTTCAGGGCGCTGGCAGGCTTGCGATCTTGCGGCATTGCATGAACTGTGCTGTGTTTGGTGAATCGGTGAATCGGTGAATCCAGGTCTTAGTGAGCAGCAAACGGCTGAGCTCAACAAGATGCAGGGCAGAGTTCTTGCTTTCGCTCAAGTGGCCTGGCAGAAAGACGGGCAGGCAACGGGCTGGTGGAGCATTAGACGCGAAAGTTGCAACCAAGTTGGTGGTCTCACAATTCCCCTGTTCGGCTGCTATGAGTCGCCTGCCTGCACTTCAGGAATTCTTCTTTTAGGGATTTCTCGTTGACACGAAGTGAAGGGACTTGACGGCGTTCAGGCCATGGCCACCTTGCAGTCGGTCTCTTCTGCCTGGGGTTTGCAGATGCAGGATGGCTGCAGCCCGGCCAGTTAACTTGACACGAAGCGAAGAGCGAAGTTCCACGCCGGATGCGCGATGCGCGATGCGCGGCTTCGTGCGTGTCTCAGGCCACTCGCCAAGCTGAAGCCTGAGACTTTGTCCGAGGGGGACGCATGGCAGAAGTTCAGCGATCGGAAATCGGATCACCCGAGTGCTGCCAACTGCAATTTTCTGAAGCCAAGGATTGGGACGCTCTTAGTATCGGCGACCCGCCTCAAGATATTCCAAGCCAGAACTTTGTAACCGAGTTCCAGAGGATGTCGTGCACGGGTTTGCTTTCTGCTTGAGTCAGAGACTTACACGTTTGAGGGCAGCCTACGTGCACGGCTTCAGATGCAGAGGCCACCCAGAACCCCAGCTGCACAGCGGGCGAGCGGGCGAGCGGGCGAGCGGGCGAGCGGGCGAGCAATGTCCGGAAATCCGACCCGATCTGAAGCCTGGCCTCTCTTGCCCGTCTCGCTCTCAGGCATTTCGAAAGCATCTGCATTGCCGCTCCTGGGCTGCACCCGAAGTTTTCTCGTCAGTCAGCGTTTTGTTTCTGAGGTGCTGCAAGAACAAAGAGAGCTCCGATGCGCAGCTCATTGTGCCGCCACGACCTTGATGCTTGATGGATTCGCTCAGATCGGGGTGAGTGTGTGACGGAGTCTTTCTGGGTGAATTTCAAATCTTGTCCCCATTGCTTTGAGCGAAGCTCGACGAGGTTGAGAAGCTTTTCGCAGCCTCCCGTGGACAACCCATCCTTAGAGGCCCGGGGCATCAGACCCTCTCGCTCGCCTGCTCTTTGCTTGGTGTCCGTGCTCCTTCTCTCTTCCCTTTCAGGTTTCCTCAGGCCTCAGGTCTCCTTTCCGAACCTTTCCTTCCCTTTTCTCCTCTCAGGTGAGCAAGTGGCTCGCACGATTAGCTTCTGCTGATGGGCAGACTGCCCGACTCGCCGGAAGCCGCCGGAAGCCGCCGGAAGCCGCCGGAAGCCGCCGGAAGCCGCCGGAAGCCGCCGGAAGCCGACGGAAGCCGCCGGAAGCGGCTGTATGGAAGCCGGCGGAAGCCGCCGGAGCCAAAGAGAGGAGAGGAAATGAGAGAAAGAAATAGAAACAAATCCAAGAAAGCATTCAATCCGAAGCATCTAAAGCACCTCTGAGTTAAGCACCTTCCATCTGGCCTATGGCCAAGTCACGGAAGGCCCTGCAGTTGCCAGTGGCCGTTTGAAGAATTCTCAAGTGCCAGTGACCGTTACGGCAAGTGCAGTGCGCCATTTCCAGAAATCATAATAGCATAGGCGGCTGACAGGGTTTGCAAGGCCTGGGTTCTTCCCTGAAACTTCTGCTTGATGGCTGTTGATATTCCCATGCAAACCCTGTTGCCCTGGCAAGTATCGATTTGGATCAAGGTCTAGTGCCGTCCTCCTTGTCAGGTGACAATTGGGTGTGGCTCAGAATACAACCCTGGTAAATGGACAAGTAGACTGCGACCTGCAGTCCCCTGGCTTTGTTTTTGTTTGAAATATGATAGACCTTCACGTGCAGGATTTCACCACAAGGGCGGGCAAGTGAATTGCCGCAAGAGCCAACTGAAGCTCCTGCGCACGTTCCCGATGGCATCGTGCTGGGATTCTGTGAATCATGGAGCGCGTGTGTTCTGAACATCAGAAGTTTGCCCCCGGCTCGCATTTCACAGGAGACCAGTTTTCTATGGGCCAGATTTGAAGTGCTCACAGGTTGATCGTGGGAGCTTATCCTTGAAGCTTGCAACCCTGTGAGACTGCAGTTGGCAAGCCGGGAAGCTTCCTTGCTGTGACACATCCGGGCTATGAGCGCCAAACCGCAAGTCTCCTTCACTCTCAGCAGGCATCTTGAAATCAACGAGTTTTCCATTTGTGAGAGCTCTTGGCCCTTTGCCCCACCGTGCAAGAGTGGCAATATTACGGAGTCAGCGGGGGACTAGTGCACCCAGCAAGAACTGCATTCAACTGACTTCTGACGTGTAGCACTACTGCAAACCCCCGTTGGCACTCCAACACGATTAGCTTAGTTAGATGAGGCATGTCCCCTCCCGTCGAACTGCAGCACAAGAGTGAATGTGAAGTGCAAGACATGGTGCAGGTTGTGATACATACAGTGCATGCTAAGTTCTCACATGGGTCATTAATGTGGGCTCTGGCCTTTTGTGATAATATAGACTGAATAATAGACGTGTGTCAAGAGTATGGCCCCAAGAGAATGAAGAGCCAGTACTACAACGGGCATGTCATGCTTTTCTTGAATAGGTATTGTTTGGCACACATTGTCTCGCAGTGCATCTTCACATTCTCTTCAATTTGCATGAAAAGGCATGTAATGTGCTGCCATCACCTTAGCGCAACAGCCGTTGCATTCTAGCTACCTAGCGAGCAAGTAGGTGGTCTCCGGCATTGTATCGGTGCATGGGCGGAAAGCAATTGCCGAGCCACCTATTTGCCGTAGACGTCGAACTTGGAGGCATTGTTTTCACAAGAATTGCAATCCAATTATGGGCATGTGGGCATTCGCCAGTTGCCAGCCCATCGCTGTTGGCTGTGTCCGCTTTCTGTGCCTGAAGCGCAAGATTCATGCGTGCCAGATGGAACACGGGAAAAAAAAGAGGAGAGGGCCATGCGACGTGGTAAAGTGGCAGCAAAGAGCACAACGGGTGGCAGTTGAGCCAGGGCGATCCGCACATGGTGGTCTTGGGGAGGAGATCTACGAGGCCGCGCTGTGCCCATTGTTGCACTTTGAGCGTTTCAACTGCCAGGGCCAGGTGTACCCGCTGAGCACTGACCTTACTCGCGACTTGAGAGGCCGATTTTGCGGAGTCAGACTTAGGCTTTTCCGAGAACAAGAAGACACTTGTCTCGCAGGCGATGCCTGGCTGGGCCCTTCCGCGCAAGGCGCCGCTTCGCTTCGCATCGGCTTGCGTCTTGCATGCGTCTTGCATGCGTCTTGCATGCGTCTTGCATAGGTGGTGACTTGGCTCTTGGAGAAGCGAAGTCTGCCAGACCTCATCCCTGGCCGGAAGAAATCCGCCCCTCGGTTGCGTTTGCCTTGAAGCTCTGGACTTGCTTTGCTCAGGCCAGTGATCAAATTTCAACCCAAGAGAAGAAGGACACTCTGACACATGAAGATATCAGAAAAGTGCATGTTGTGCAGGCAGGCTTCATGACTTCGCGCAATGAGAAGGTTTGGGTCGAGGCCAGCAAATTTCGTGACTGCTGCACTTGTGCTGTTTGGTCTGGCAATTCCCTACCCAGAAATCTACTCAACGAGACAGCACCTTCTGAATAGAATAGAGTATATCATTGTGGTTGCTATGCCAGAAGAAAGAGTCATCGATTGCGTTTGAGAAGAAGCAAGGAAGGAAATGAGCGGAGTCAAGATAGGAGACAAGACTTTCCTTTTGTATAGTCACTTTTCCAATCAGGCCCCTGTTGTAGCTATTCCACCTGTTTGTCCAAGACTTACAAATACGATAAAGATAAACCCTTGTCAAAGGTGTTGAAAGCCAAAACAACGAGCATAGCCTTTCGATGCAAGGTCAGAGTAACCCGAAGCAGACCCTTGCAGAATTATGTCAAAAGGCTCAAGTCCAAAAGCACAGACGAGAAACAATCTTGTCACAGATACGCCAAGGCCTCCTCCTGCGAGCGAGATTACACAGAAGGGAATGAAAAGTTATCACACTGAAGTAGCGACGAACAGAATTGCTCACCCAGAACCCGAATATGACAAAGGTTCAAGAGGCCCAACAAAGAGCCACAGCGAGGGTTGAGCAGTAGGAGATACGCCATCCATAGCTCAGGTGAGTTGCACAATTTTCAAGCGACATATCGCCCGCGATATAGAGGTCAAATTGACATAATCGAAATGTTCATTTTCGGCTGGTTCTCGTTCACGTTAAAAGACTGGGAATAAGTTATGACAGATACAGTTTTACTCTTCTTTTTTTTTGAATATCTTTGTCTTCCCTGACTTGGTGACAAACAACACGGAATGGATCAAGACTAGACCGGAATACTATTTACGTTTCAAGTTTTCTGTTCAGGACGGTGTTTAGGAGATTGACAAAGAAGACCATCCGTGGGACATGTATCACCAATGACACGAAGAAACGGACAACAAAAGCACCCCCAACACCAAACACCCTGCGACATCAAAATAAGCATTGAAATCAGCGCAAGGGTGTTGAAGCTTGAAATGTGGACATTTTACCTTCCCTTCTCACACGGGCGGAGGGCATGATTGGAGCAGCCCACGTGACGCAGAGGCCAAAGCTTTGACCTCTGGCGCGCAACTCAGCGGCGCGCAATTCACAGCTTTCACAGCTTTCACAGCTTTCACAGCTTTCACAGCTTTCACAGCTTTCATTGCGACTAGCTAGTCTTTGGCTTGCGCAAGACAGGACGGGGGCACATCTTCCAAGTCGAGGAGGGGGGGATGTGGAAGGCAGGCGAAGCGCATGAGAAGGCAGGCGAAGCGCGCATGTTTTGCAAGGCGCTATCCTATTCCGAAGAGAAGAAGGAATGGGTCTTCAACGTGAGGCAGGGCCATTGCCTGCACGCGGGGCCATTGCCTATCACTTGCCTGAAGGAAAGCGCAAGAAGAAGAAATCGTGCCCTGTGAGGCACAGATGTGGATTTTTCTTGCTCGGAATTTTGACCGCAATCCTAGCATAAAGAGCATTTGCAACCTCTCCCCGTCCACTTTAGCATGGATGGCGGGAAAGGCATCTCCATCATCCCCATCTTTTGCCATCCATGGGCATGTGCCAGAATTCGAACCACTTCCATCAGCGAACCGCTTTGGCCTGCAAGCCTAGGGTGACATAATTCTGTGTGCCTTGGCACAGCCGACTGTCAGGCGATTGCGTACATCTATGAGAAAATCGATGATTCTGCGGGAAGCCCACCTGGTTTCCGCATTTGCCTAGGATGCTTGCTCAGCTTCAGGCGAAGCTGAATACACCGACTGTTAGGCCTGAGCAATTGAGGTTTGTTGCAGCACAATCCCTGCAGGAATTGTGTGCTAGGAGATACTTCCCGGAAGCTTCAGGTACAGCAGTGGCTGCGGCCCTAGGCTTTTTTGCTTTGACGGAGTCTTGGCAGCTGACAGCAGGCTGAGATCGAGCAGCAGACGGACCACCGCTTCTATGAGTTGTCACTTTTGGCCGAGGCCAGCATTGGATGCCAGATTTGCAGACAGGTTTTGGCCTGCGAGGCTTTGACGCACTGCTCTGCGGGTTCATCGTAGTTGCCCTACGGGCCTTGCGGGCTTGCCATGAGTTCCCCCTTTTGGCGGTAAGGATTGTGAAGCCCAACGATCATTTGGCTTTTGCGGCGTCCTCGTTCGCGAATGGCCGCGTCGAGCTGTCGAGCTGTCGAGTCGAGACGAGGTGGGCGAAGCCGCGTTGAAGTGCTTCGTGTCCGAGAAGGCCATTGCCGAGGCGCGGGTCCCGGGTGCGAAGAGAAAGCGCGGAGCGCGGAGCGCGGAGAGGTGGCCTTCAACGCACATTTGGTGGTCAAGGAGGTGCTGCCATTGGGCGGGGCCATCGGCACTGAGCTGCTGCCAGGGCAGCGTCAGTGGCAAAACCTTCTGCGCGCCGGCTAGCCAGAGTCTGAATTCCAGGGCTGGAGTGCCCGACTGTCATAGCAAATTGCTTGCCAGGCTTCACCCTCCCAAAGAAGGAGCTCAAGTCGCCGGAGTCGGAGTCAAAGTCGCCGAAGTCTTGCTCTTGGTGCACTTGTTGCCAAGCCGCCAATGTTGCCTGTGGTTGTGGCCCAGGTCAGACAAAGGTGACTCATCTCCACCACTGAGTGGGGACCCCAGAAGTGTTTGGGCTGGCTAGAAGGTATGTTTGAGATGTCCGCAGCTCAACTGTGGATTGCCCTAGTTCGCACTGCGTGAGACACGTACATGTGGTCAATCATTTCTTCAACATTGTAGCATCGTGCGGATGGCGACTCAAGCATCGGTGAAGTGAAGAAGATGAGCAGACTCAGCATCAGTGAAGTGAAGGAGATGAGCACTGGGCGGAAAGCTAAACACGTTCGGCTGCTTGTCCCCCACATTCTTGTGTCGAGCTTTTTTGGGTCCCCCTCCTTCGCCTTCGCCAACTTACGCACGCTTTCTCTCATGCACTCAGCTTGTCTCACCAACTTACTACGCGTGCTTCCTTTCGCTCACTCAACTTGCGCTCACTGACTGTCGCGCGTTTACGCTCACTCACTCAACTTACCCTCATCGACTTTCAGTCTCACACACGCACACACACACACACACCCTCACTCGGTCAACTTGGGAGCGCTTACTCACTTTCTCGACTTGCGCCCGCTAAATTGCGCGAACCCTGGCACCGGCAACGATGTGCCTTGCTGGACCTGAGCCATCGCCGCAAATAGTGGAACTTGCAAAGGTGGGGCGGAATGGTCAGCAAGGACGGTGTGGGCCCATGGCGCCAGAGCGAACCCTCTGCCTTCCGTCCGGCCCTGTCCACTGCGCGCGCTGAACTTGTTGGTTTCTGGTCATGAAGCTTGGCGAGCTCTCCACGGCTTCAAATTACCCCCTCCACGCAAAACAGCACCAGCGCGCGCAAAGTACCGCGAAAACCAGCGCAATCTGGCGTCACCACGCGCGGAGAGCGCGGACTGCACCGCGTAAGTACTGCGCCCGGTCCACCCAAACCACTTTCTGTGTATACAACGCGGGCCTCATCGTAATTCCGGAGTTGGCGAACGCACGACAGGTTTCCAGTTGACATCCGCTTCTGACCTCTACTGCAAAGTTCTGGCAAGACGAGTGCAACTGCAACAGCGCAAGTGGTATGGGCCTGATTTGTCAGAAGCATGGCGTCAGATCTGTGTTGACCATCTGCGTTTCAGTTGCCCTCTGCAGATGTAGACAAATGCGGCCTGACGATGTCTGCTGGTTGTCTGATTCTAGGCAGACTTGCGCACGCAGAGACTGTCGCCAAGACTGCTCATGTTGTGGTGAAAGAGGCTGAGTTACCAATAGCGCTCTGTAATTTGTTTCGGCTAGTTCAGGAATCTTTAAACGGGTTCGCAGTGTGGATTGCAGGCCATTCGGTCGCGCAGCTGGGTAAACTGGAAGGCGCAAGAGCAGCTGCGCAGAATGCGGATCACGCTGCGTAAGTTGAGGGCAAACAAGAGGGTGGAGATGCTAGGTTGCCTCCAAGCAGTGCTCCGCAAAAGGAAGGGGGAACCTAAGAGGGTTTGCGGGAAAGGGCAGAAGGCAAGGGAACTCTAGGCAAAGCTAGTTCTGCGCAACACACCAGCGCATTTTGCTGCGTTGGACGCGCTGCCATGGCTTGCCCGCAGCCGGTAAAGCCAGAAGTAGCAGAATGCGACGCAGAAGCATTTTTTTTTTGTGATGATGTTTCTGCCGGAACAACCCATAGCGCGTCAGTGTCCCACTAGTACAGCTCGATATACTCGCCGCACATTGGCTCAAAAACAACAAGAGCGCGCTTAATGCTTGTTACTTGGCTTTTTGCCTCATCTGGGGCAACGTTTGAGCGGTTGCTTATGTTGGGCCATTTTCGCGGTCGGTGTTTTGATTTCGTAAGCGGTTACGTTATGTAGGAATTGTTGTTTCATGTGGAGGTGGAGCTTGCTTTGGCAGGTGGCTTCTGATTCGTGAAGTGGCATTTTGATGTGGTTGCTATTTTGTCTTTAAGATCGCTGCTCCAAGCTTGTGCTGGCATGGACACCGCTTGCAAGCGTGTAGGTTGCTTCTCGTTCAGCAACCAACGGCAAAGGCTTGTGGCTGGGGTGTACAACCTGGCAAGGCTTTGTTCGATCTTCCAAAACCAAACCCGGCAAGGCTTTGTTTCATCTTCTTTTGCCAATCGCAGACTGGAAGGCTGTGAGATTGCAGTCTAGGCTGCGACGTCAGGTCTGAAGGAGACGCTGAAACGTCGCCGTTTGGCGTGCTGCAACCATGTCAGCCGCATGCTTACATCCATTCCCCATTCCCGTTCCCGCTCCCCTTCTCGTTTCTGTTGGGAATGCAATGGGAACAGGAGCGGGGGGAACGGCAACGGGAATGGGAACGGGAACGGAGCGGGAGCGTCGTTCGGCCTGGGACTGGGGCCGGGGATGGGAATGGAGGTTACGCTTCCAGCTGCGTCAAAAACGAGCTACACAAGAACATCAACCACACTTCGGAGCAGCTGAAGGAGACAATTCCCAGGCAGTGGCCAAGCGTGCAAATGGTCGAGCAGACACTTGCAGGAGAGCATCTCCATTTTTGCCAAGAAGCAAGCGTGGCCCGCCTGAGAGGGTTTGCTGGGAGTAAGAAGAAGGGCGCTCGCGCTCAAACAATCAAACTTTGAGGCGACTCAGCCTGTTGATCCAAGGAAAGGCAAAGTGGCTGCGCTTGTGAAGCTGGGCGCGCCCAAGGCAGGAGCCTCGGGGTAAAGTGCGCCAAGGCTGTTTTCAGGCGTATGCGCCTTAATTGTCGTTCAAGATAGCCTGCGGGTTTTCACATTTTAGCGTTGGCTGCAGAGGTTCTTGGTGATACACAGTTGGCGACGATTGGCCCGAAACTGAAGCGCGTGTCATTTCCGTTCTGGATGTTGCAGCGCAAGTGAACAAGGATCGATCACCATGGACTCTGATAACTTGGAGGCGTGACAATGTTTTGTCGGTGCGCCACGCAGCTAATAACAGGCGTCATGCAGCCCGGGCAGCCCGGGGCAGCCGAGCAGCCGAGCATGTTGTAGCACTAAAAACTCACGTAGTTGGTGCAGCTGCAGGGCAGCTGAGTGCTTCAACGTGTGATGCGAGCCTTTAGGCGGAGAGCCTCATGGCGAAGCATTACAAAGAAAGCCCGTGCCTTACTGGCGTTCCATGGTAGCAAACGCACTAGGGCCTCAAGTCTCAGAAAACCGTCGCAACTTTGCAGAATGCAGCCTTGCTGAAACTGCCCGCCTGCGCAACAGAAGCACACACCCCTGCCCCCCACCCCGCTTTTGCGCAGGCACTCACACGCATAAGTCAGAAATGTAGGATAGCCATGTGTGGAACAGCCTTCGCTGCAAGTGTGTTGTGCGGCAAAGACGCATCGGTTTCTGCGTGATGCTGAGAGCAATGAAGTTAGTGAAGCTTCGTCACAATCGATGGAGTCGGTTTCCCAACTTCGGAGGCAAATCGGCTGTGAAGAGTCTGAGACATGTGCTAGGTTTGCGATGACAAGCGCAAGAGTAAGGCCAAACCAAATCCGACCCATTTGCGAGTTGAGTTCTGATCTTCGTCGAGGGACCGAAGGGCTCCAGTCCGCGAAGGGTAAGCTTACTCTCCTCATCATCCTTGACGCAGCAACATCGCTGGTGACTGCTCATCCCGTTCCACGCGCAGACGCAGAATAGTGCTTTCCGAGAAGGAGTGCCAGCCCTAGCGCAACCGGACCAGCCGAACTTACTCTCGAAAGAAGACCGTGCCAGAACAGCGCGCGAAAATTGAGACAGCATGGGCGTCTGCTCCACTCGTGATGTGCGTTCGCTGCCCCCGTGGCAGTGCCTGGGGCCCAGGCTGCCACGTCCAAGCAATTGGCCCCATCGCGTGACACCCAGTGGCCACTCCGGCCAAGAGGCCGCTCCATTGAGGAACGGCAGGCCTTCCCCCACCCGTGAATCCAGGAGCAAGATTGCGTTCTCAAGGCGCGGCAAAGGCGATGCCGAAAGCCAAAGCCATGCCCAGGTCCTCCGTCGTCAGCAACATTTTTGCTCACGGACGGGGTCCTAGTGTTGTGGATAATCTCTTTTGCGCAGATCACACTTTCGCCGTCGCCAAAAGCTACGACATCGGGCAGCGTGCCTGAGGAGAGCTCTTGAAGGACGTGAAGCCGGGCTACTGGAAGAGCGGCTGTCTTCCTGTGTAAGTCTCTGCGTGGAACACGAGAGGGCGAAGTGTCTTGAGCCCCTTGACTTGTTTTGGGCGAGAAAGAAGACAACCCTGCTGACCGCTCATGATCTACATCCAAACAAGATCCGGCGCACTACTGTAGCGCAGATAGAGAAAGATGAGCAACACTTTGCAATCAGCAAGAGCGTAAGGCGCCCTTGAGCTCCCATCCGGCGCTCTACTCTAGCCCTCGTGAAAGCGTGTTGGCGTGAGAGCCAGCTGACTTGGCCCACATGGAAGAAGAGCGGCGCAAGATGCAAGATTGCGGCGAGGCTATGGCTTGGTGAACGAGCACAGTCTCACCGCACGGCCGTTTTGCCGGGCCGTTTTCCAGGCCTAACGTCACATGCTCCTGCGAGTTGCCTTGCTAGTGGGTTGATGTCCTGTGCACGGCAACAAGAGCTTGAGGTTAAAGCACCCTTGCTCCGCAGAAGATTTGCGCGCGCAGACCAAGCTGCTGGCGCGAAGCATTTTGCAGCTTGCGTCACCCGGGCATATTTTGGCCAGGTTGGTTACTGCCCATTTCACAGGAATTCCCGAGGCCAACGTGCTTCCTGGGAAAGAATCTTTGTGTTTGATTTGAGACGGGTATACGTTTACCATCATACAGCGCTTTGCGTTGCCGTAAGGAGCGCATGCCGCCTCCATGGGGATATTGTCGGGACCCATTCAGCCCTATAATGCGCTACGCCCCCACGACAGGAAACCAGCCACAAGAGCCACACACCGCCACACGCGCAAACGAAGAGCTAAGAAACAAAACCCAGCCTCTCGTGCCCACGCTGCGTGGGAGCCGAAGGGAGGCAAGCAAAGAATTGAATGGGTGGATGGGTGGATGGGCAGATGGGCAGATAGGTGAGTGGATGTGTGGGTGGAGAGCATAGACAAGCGAATTGGTGTGTGAGGTGCCTAACGGGCAACATGCGGGCCCGTTTCATGGTGTTTGTTTCTGTACGCATCAGTTCCTCACACATCCCACACAAGAGCAGCTGGCGTGTTTGCAGGGAGCATTGCCGTTGGACAAAGCCCGCGCTAATGGTTGATGGGTTAAGGGCAGAAAAGGCTTCTTGATATGTTTTTGGCAGGCAACGACACTTTCTACAAGGAGCTGTTGCAAGACGCGGAAATTCCACACTTCAGCAAGTTCAGCCAAGGACCAAGGTTTCGTGAGAAACTGTCATCTCTCACGGCCGGTTGCAAGGTTTTGAGGACGGGAAGTCGATGCAAGACACTCTCAAGGCAGAGTACGTGTAGAGATTGCCCAGTCAGCTGTCAAATGTTTGTAGCCTTCCGATGATTTTTCTGCCAAGGCGCTCGACCATGACATGGTGAAGGATCAGATCTCCTTGGCGTACCTGCCTCAGTACTCTTTGGCTGGCCAATTGATTGGCTACCATTGAGGCCGTGGTTGCTGAGTGCTGATCCGGAAGTAGGTGCGCGTTTTGATTTGCTAAAGCAGTGCTTGCAACCACGCGCATCTATGCAATGTCATGCCTGGCAGATCGGAACGAAATCAACAAATTGCGCTGCCCTGGGATTGGACTGCATTTGCTGGAATTTGATGTGAGCAAGCCAAGGAAATACTGCACTGACCTTATGCTTTTGGAAGTTCAGGCCTTATTTTGAGTCGAGATGCAGAGCAGTCGATGCTTTGACCCAGCTCTCTACCCAAAAAGGAAGCCCAAACAGGAAGCGAGGGTGTGCATCAGCTGGAAACAAGCAAGGCAAGCAAGGCAAGTCAGGGTATCGCAGAAATGTAGGTCAGCGGGGCTTTCCGAGGTGGAGAATCCCAAGGGTGAGAATGAACTAATCGCCTGCTCGTCTCCCCGGGCCATGCTTCTGAACGTTGCGCTTCAGCGCCGTCAGGAGGGAGGCGTGCGATTGGCAAGGCCTTGGGCTAGAAATTGTCCATGTTGCCAGGTTCTTCGGATGAGGATGCCGGAGAGCAAAATGAAGGGAGTGGCGATCAGGACTTGCAACATCATGCAATCATTGATGCAAGAGACCATAGCAGACATGTGCAGGACGCAGGACAGAGCGAGTCTGATCGCAGACCAACTGAGACACTTGTCTTGAATCAGCCATCAGCCACTTCTGATTCACCACCCTCAGTGCTTGGGGCGGCACTTGTCGATGTGTTGAATAGAAGTTGCATGCTTGTTTCATGATGTTGCAGCCGGTCAGGCACGAGGGAGCCCGGACCCCAGCTGCGCAGCGCGTATGTGGCTCCTGTGTTGACCACCAGGCGATATACTGCAAGCCTTGCAAGATGTGGCTGAATGGGCCCACCCAGCAAGGGCCTGAGCTTAAGCAGCTGCTTGGATCTTGGACGGACCATGTCTCGGACAGGTGGGCTGACCACGAGATTGGCAAGAAACATCGTAAAGCTGTGCGGCGCCAGCAGGCCACGCTGCGACACCACAATTGTGTTGGGCCGTGTTTTGGTCGCTTGCGGCTTTGATTGGCAAAGCATGCTTGAGTCTGGGTTTCTAGATGAAGGCTGCAAAGCATGCTGGCTGCGAGGCGGGAGATTGTGCAAAAGATGTTTTGCTTCGGAAGACGACCAGGAAGAAGACGAGCAGCCCCGCCCCATTCCGGCAGAGTTCGGAAAGGGACCGCGAAAGGCGCGACAAGCTTTCAGATATGGCGAAACATGTATTCTGTGTCAGGATGAGAGGAGTGAGGCGTGGACCGAGTTTTTTGCACGCCTCTTTTCGTGAGTGCCTGACCTAGGACGTGCAGATGTCTATAGTCAAAAACGAGGCTTGCACCATGTTTTCAGCTGTGGACCCACGGCTAGGCTGAGCAAGGCGAAGGTGCGGCCGTGCGGCTTGTGACGGGCTAGACGGCTAGACTTCGACTCTTGCTTGACCAGGAAACAGGATGCCGTGCGCCTGCCAGTTTTTGCAGCATGGCAAGCTTGACATTCGACAAGATGCCAGGCAACACGCGGAATATTCAGGCTACTTTTTCCCCGTACTTCAATGAGCCAATGCAGTAATCGGTAGGACAATTCATTGCACGCATCGGGGTGCATTTTTGTTGGATGCCGCTTCCTGAGAACAAAACAAAACACACGCAAGACTTCAGTGCATGTCAGTTTGCTACAGCACATGCTGGTCTTGATTTTTGGCTAGAGAACGCTTTAGCGCATCCATCATTTTTGCGGCCCAGCCCCATGCACCGTGCGACACATTGTCCTTTTGACTGTGGCGCTTCCTGGGTAGTAGGTGCTGTGGGTGCTGGGTCCTGGTTCAATTCGACCTCTGATATGATGTATTGGTTTGGGCCGCCTTCTTAAGGCTGCCCAAGGCATATAATTCCGCAGGCGCAGCCAGGCGCTGGCTGTTGCCGCACGATTGCTTCTACCTGACAGGTAGGCAACGATCCTCCATTCTTTGCCCTTTGACAGGCAGAATGGAGGGTGCAAGACTCAGAAGCTCTCAGAAGCTCTCAGAAGCTCGAGCTCAGAACATTTCTTCCGGCGCATTCGTGTTGCCGAGAAGATTTTGTGTCTAGTCAGTTCTCAGCCCTGAGAACTGACACGTAGGCAAACATACTCCATCCATCCTTTGCCCTTTGCCTATGGCCGAAGTGGCTCAGGACACGCAAGACTCAGAAGCTCTACTTGCTCCTTCTATGGGGTCATTCTTTTGGCTGTTCCTGGGAGTGATCAAAGTCAGAAGCTGGGGCTGTTTCCCTCAAACCCAATTGGGGGTGACTTTGATCATGGCGAAACAACGGACCAGTATGAAGGAGCCACGCGCTGTGGCGAAACACTCGAAGCCGAATCATGGGGATGCCAACGTGCCCGGCAACGGAAAAAGTAAACCGATGCAGAGGCGCTGGAGGCACTGGAGATGTCCCCTGACAGTTCCATGAACGTTGCCGTGCCGCTGGTGCCGCTCAGTGTTTCACGGCTCGAGAGGGCATTGATAGATCGAAGATGCTGCAAGTACAACGAGTTCGTGCAGTTACATGAGCCACTGACACAATGGGCCCGAGGCCCAGCTTTGAGCCATGCGGATACAGTAATACACGTGTTTGCGCCTGATTTGGCTCAGGTGATGAGGATCTCTTACGAGGTCTTGAAATTCCTACTGGGGAGCTGATCCTGGAGTTTCTGATCGGGTCAGGGTACACCTCGGAAGTCTACAAGGGCCTGTGGACGCGCCACGACAACACGGCAGGGCACTCGCAGTTTTGTTTGAAGCGTTGGACTTTGCAATCTTTGCAATCTTTGCACTCGCAGTGCTTGGCGCTGTTGCGTAGGTGGTTGCCATCAAGCAGATCACAGAGGATGCGCAGATGCGCTCAGAGCAGCAGCTGGCCTTTGTGCGAGAGATGAGCGTCCTCACCCAGGATGGGAACAAAGCTGTGAGGTTTTGCAAGCTTTTGGGCCTTTTCATGCTTCTTCATTTTTCGGTGACTGGAAGGCCTCGTGTGTTGCTGTGAATGGCCTGAGGTGCGGCATGAAAACTTGGCCTCTTGGCTCACAGTCCCGGGTCTCCGGGTCTGAATGCGCACGCATACGGCAAGACTTAATGAGTTCGGAGTCTCGGAGTCTCGGAGTCTCAGGTCCAACTCTATGGGGTGTGTCTAGACTCACGGCCGCTGCGCATCGTCACGGAATACTGTGGCGGCGGTGCCGTTTTTGAGCTGCTGCACAACTCGCCCATTGATCTGGCCGGAGCCACAGTCGAGTCACCGAGTCTCGAGTCACCGAGTCTCGAGTCTCCGACGATTGGACTTCTAAGGTGTACCCACAGCAGATCAAGATGTGCCGGGATGTGGCAAGGGCAATGAACTATTTGCACACCTTCAACCCGATGATCATCCACCGGGACTTGAAATCTTTGAACCTTTTGCTGGACAAGCCAGTCACAGGTGTGGCGGTTCTTTCCCTTGAAGTAGAAACAAAAAAAGCAACAACAAAGACAACAGCACAAAGCAACAACAAACAAAACAAACAAAACGAAAGCTCAGCTCCGAGCTCGGAGCGAGCTCGGGCCCCTCAGGTCTCGACCTGCCGCTGGTGAAAGTCTGCGACTTTGGTGTAGCTAAGTTCCAGGTCCAGGCCGGCAACTGGGGGCAGATGACCAACCAGGCGCGGCGCGGCGCGTAGGCGTGCAGGCGCGGAGGTGCGGAGGCGCGGAGGCGTGCAGGCGGGGGACTTTCCCAGGCGGGCACAAAGCACTGGATGGCTCCGGAGATGTGGACTGGCTCCACATACGACGAGAAGGCGCCCAGTCTAAACCTACGCAAGGGTTTATGTTACGAAAGTCCCAGGTGGACGTCTTTTCGTATGCCATGGTCATCTACGAGATCATTTGTCGAGAGGTGCCGTTTGAGGAGGAGGCCGGGACTGGTTGAGTTGCCGCGGTTTTGGATGCTGGGATAGGGGAGATCTCATCAGGAACCTGCCGATGTGGGAAAGTACACCGTGGCCGGGATCCGCCCTGACATGGACGCTGTACCTCCAGATTGTCCCCCAGAGCTCATTGCCGTCATGCAGGCCTTGCTTCGCCTTGCTTCGCCTTGCTTCGCCTTGCTTCGCCTTGCTTCGCCTTGCTTCGCCTTGCTTCGCCTTGCTTCGCCTTGCTTCGCCTTGCTTTGTCGCTTCGTGCGTTGAGTTGTTGTCCGCAGGCATGCTGGGCGCAGGACCCCTCTGAGCGTCCCTCTTTTGCCGACGTGCTGCAGCGCATTGAATCGCTGCGCCTTTGAGACTCGAGCGTTTCCAAAGTGCGCGGCAAGCAGAAACGCCCCACTTTGTTACTCCCAATGGTCGAACACGGTCAAAGATGAGAACACATCTGCTTCTTCACGGTTGCCTTTTCACGGTTGCGGGCCATTGGGGTTTTAGTGTTTGAAGTGAGGCCATACTCGGCCTACACGGCATGACAGGCACAAGCTAAGCAGGCCCAATGATTCGGACATGTACAACGCTGTGCATGTTCGGCGGTCACAAGCCGCATGCGGAGAGTGGCTTTCCACCAAAGCTGCACAAGCAACAGACACGCGCCTCAATGTGCAAATGAGGGAGTGCTCCATGATCTCTTGTAAGGCAGGATGCAGGATGCAGGATGCAGCAAATGTTACCCTGGGTGGAACCTTTTGGCCCAGCTTAGAGCGGCGTCTCCGATTGTGGCAATGGCCGGCCGTAGCCGAGGCACATTCGCTTTCGATTTCATGTCTCCGATGTCTTGTTCTCCGGTTTTGACTTCCCTCAGGTCTGACTCGGCCGGCATTGCTTCTGCTCGGCGCACTGGTGGGGCTCTCAATCAGTCCAGCAGTCCAGGAGCTGGTCTCGCGGGCAGAGGTCCTATGGGGGCACGCGTTCACTCCGAGCCGCGCCTGGGGCAAGGAACGCAGGGCATCACAGGGTGTTGGCACATGACAGCACCTCGCAGGGGCGAGAAGTGGCAGTGGCGAGGGCAGCCGTGGCGGACTGCACGTTCGGCACTTGTCTGAAACCTCTTAGGCAAATAGCGGACACCTTGCTATCCGAGGACAGTGCAAGAGCTGGATGATGCCACTCAGCTTTTGTATAATCCTGGTGTGGACTTAAGCATTCAGTGGGCAAGCAAGGAAGTGTCAAGAGATGGATGTGCGGTAAGGCAATCGCGAACACTGCCAAGGGGGACCGCGCCGGTTGCGTGCATGTTTGCGCATTGGACAGACATCCCTGAGGAGCCCAATGTGTTGATCGTGGGCTTTTCCACGACCTGGTCCGGTCCTTTCTTTCGCGTAGCCAATGCCTTCGTTTCCCGAGAGGTGCGGCCCTTGCAAGCTGATGGATCCAAAGGCTCGACGGAAGGTTTCCCATCCTTCGGTTCCTTCGAAGTTCCTTCGAAGTTCCTTCGGTTTGATGGAGCTGAGATCTGACGTGCGAGGTGAAAGAGCTCAGCGAGACCTTTGAAGGAAGAGCGACTTTTCTCAAGGCGACTTCTCAGCTTTTCCGGTGAGTTCCAGGTGCAGGGGATTCATGGCAACCTAACAATCTAGCGTAAGGATGTCTCAGTATCTGAGGAAGTAGTAATGAGTTCCTCCTATGCATGACTGCACCCTATCAATAGTGTTTGTCCCCGACTCAAATCTCCCAACACTAATGCGACTTAGCCAATACTAAGCCAATTCCAATTCGCTGGTTTCCCGGATCCCAAATTCCAGTTGGGACACTTTTTCGAACACACTGCCGAACATGACACAACCAATTTTCAACTAGCATAAATCCGGAAAGAAACACATGACACATGTTTTTTTTTCAAGCTTCCTTTCTCGGATATTGTCATTTTGAGCGTTTCCTACTATGACAGCCACTGCACACATGATTATAAACATGTGCAATTTAACTACAGAGCCCCAGAACCAGCTTCTTCAACATACAAAGTTTCATGATGTATCACATCATAAACTTCTATGAGCACACGCACGCCAGTTCATGCAACCCTCGAAATAATACTTTTACGTAGAATCATCAATGTGCGTTGGCTATTCCATTCAACAGGGAGGGGTAGATGTTTTTCGCTTTTGGCTTCTTGGCTTCTTGGCTTATTGTTGGTTTATGCGGCTTTTGGTGGCTTTTTGGCTTTGGCTTTTCGCATTCTTTGCTTTCCCAGTTCCTCTCCATGTAATCTATGTGTGTCTGTATGTATGCACTTCTTCGAACATCATGGGGGGGGGCCCGCCCCAACCCCCCCGCTACTTTGAAGTTTTGTACATGGATTGAATGGCACCCCTATTTGAACAATCACTTTTTCAACCCCGCCAACCCGCCCGCCCGCTACTTTTTGGGCCTTTTTAAAATCCCACGATTTGCTGGTGATGCTGGGGATGTTGGCGGGACAGGCGGGATGTTGAAAACGATGCTGGGGATGTTAACGGGCTAGGGACATTTTGCTGGCCAAGACAAAAAACGAAAAACAAAAACAAACTAGTAACAACAGAAACGGAGAAAACCCAAAATAAATCCGCACCCATTTAAAAGTCTTGCCCAGTTTGAATGCTATATTTAGAAGATACCGGCGGTGCTGTAATGAAATGTAGGAAAGTCATTGTGAACATTGTGATGACTGGACAATGAGCAACCGGGATCTCCATTTGGGTAGGTAATGTGACAGGCGTTTATTCGTAAGGGGAAGAGATTACCCTTGCAGAATTGTTTCCGGCTGGCAGACTGAAGACCTTCCTAGGCCAATTGTGCCAAGAAACAACCCCTTCACGGGGTATTCAGTGCCGCAGCCAGCACACACCGCACACACCACGCGCAAACCCACAAGCACACAAGCACACACACCCACAAGACATGCATGCGCTTAGAAGTGAGAGGATTTGAAACGGTCCCACGAAGACACCGCGTGAAAAGCTTCGATGTTCTCATGCAGGTCATGGGCGACAAGGCAGGGACCAGGGAGCTGCTCTGTTTGTGGCCATGGCCGTTCTGAGATGGGACCCATGAAGGACCCGGAAAGCATGCAGATCATGAAGCGGGAGCAGGTCCGAACGGTTGCCTGGCGCAATCGGCACCAAGCGACATGGCCTCTCATTTGAACCAGCCAAGGTGCCGCTGTACCAAATCTACAAGGAGGGGAACAGGGAGCCACCGACTTTCACCTGCCCGCCTTGGCATGAGCTCGCTTCCTTTGTGTGGATCGGCAACGGTCTAGGATCTAGGGCTTGGGGCTTGTCAGGATGGTCAGAAGGTCGGCTCTGTGTCTGGCGCTGATGCAGACCGCTTGACCAGCAAAATAGAGCAGTGCTGCTGGCAAATTCGAGAGAGAGAGAGAGAGAGAAGGAGAGAGGGATAGCATTGAGAAGGGCAGACAGACTCACACCTTGGCGCAGTGCCATGTTTCAGTGCCAGGCACACTGGAATGAAGGCCACTGAGCCCAGCAACAGCTGAGCCATTGGGAGGAATGGTTCTGGTTTGCAAGGAGCTCTCGATTTCGTCAAAGAACTGGCATACCTCGCATGGCTCTCATGGCTGTATCCCTGGTTTGCAGCCACCAGAATCTGTCTCTGGTGCGTCGAATGAAGACTGCCTAGAGCTGTGGCCGAAGCCGGCTTGGCCATCCTGCCGAACATGGTAATATGGAAGCAAGTTGTCAGGAAGGCCCAAGGCACATTGCAGGCAAATTGCAGGCAAAGGCGGCAAAGGCCACATGGCTCCTTGCAGGGTCGATGTGCGCCCACAGAGGCGTGCCGAATCCGTTCGCCGGTGCGAAGCTGAAAGCACAAGTTGAGGTCTGTGATTGTTTGAGCCGGCCAAACTGTTTGAATCCGGTGAGTCTTGGGCGAGAGCCTGGACTTGGGCAGTAAGCCAGAGTTATTTGGCCGAACGGATGGCCTGGGCTATGGCATGCTCCTCTGGCAATTGGCAACCCTTGAAGCCGAGTTTTAGCAACGCATGCGTTGCTTGCTTTGGGTTTGCGCCATGGCTCTTGCCAGGCCTTGGCCGGAAGTGTCCGGCGTGGTGGGAACCACATGATTCACCCCAATTGGCATTGCCTCGCATGGCAGCGCTTGAAGTCTGAAGTCTCAATTACCAGATGCCTTCCTTTCCGCATGCAGATGTTTGGTGCCAAGACGTGTATGGTCCGATGATTTTCGGGATCTTTCTCGAGGCTTTGCTCAGCGTCAAATCGTGAAACCCCCTCTTTTCCGCCAGATAGAAAAGTTGTTCAGCCAAGTTTGCATTGCAGCCAAGACTGCTGCTTCATGGTAGTGTCGGTAGCTCCGCTGGCGTTTTGCTCAGCGCATTTGCTCAAGCAAAGTTAAATCCGAGCTTCATCCTAGAGGTAGAGGAGCGGGGTTGGTGGGGCTGACTGATGTGTCTCGATGTGTCAATGCATGCGCTGTTGCCTGCCCTGATGCGAGGACGCCAACCAGCAAGTTGAGCATCGGATGACCCAGAAATGTGGCGGGCGCATCCTCACTGAAGAGGAGGCGCTGCCAAGTGTTTTGCGAGCCGTTGATGCTATGGGCTGAAGCAAAAATCAGAGAGCCACCGGGCTCGGCTTTGAAGTGATGCAGGGTGGCAACATTCCCCACATTCCCACCGGCTGAAGTTGCAGAGAAGCTTCAGTTTCGGGGAACATATCGCTTGTGCCAGGTTCATTGGACACCTCGCTGAATCAGAACAGATTTTAGATGCAGGCCGTGCGTGATGAGGGCCTGTTGGCCATGCAGCTCAGGAACGTGCTGCGCGCACTCGATCTAGACGAGAAGAAAGACTTGAGACGCCTTGGCAAGGACAGAGTTGCTTTGTGTCAGGCGGTCCCGTTCGTGGTATCCCTTATTTTCAACCGGGGGGCATTGGTTGGGGGTCTGAGGCACAGGGCCACACAGTGTCACAAAGCTCCAGAGAACTCCTTCCCACGCCTGGGGCCCATGAGGCGCATGAGGCCCATGAGGCCCATGAGGCCCATGAGGCCCATGAGGCCCATGAGGCCTCTGGGGCCTGTGGGCCCATCCAACTGTACAAACTGTACACTCTTTGCTTCTACTTCGGACATGTCACCTGGACTCCGCCTTATGAAACAAGCGTCGCCATCGCCCCATGGCACTCTTGAACGCATGCAGGCCGCATAATTGAATCCAGCCCACATAGCTACATAACTAACAACCTCGGCCCCAGTGAAGAGGGTTGTTTTGTAGCATCAATCGGAAAGTTTCAAGCATGATGAATGTGTGTAACGAAATGAAGCCCGCCTTCAGGTGAGATCATGACCATTGCAAGTGTGAAGACCACTAAGCAGCAGCTCAATCCAATGGTTGCTTGCGCGCCAGACACGGAAGGCTGCTTTGTGGCCTGGGTTAGCTGTTCCCTTCTAGCAACGCCATTTTTCCCAGTGCGAAACTGTGCCGAGTTTGAGTTGGGCCAGCCGCTAACCAGACCAAAGCTGCCGACAGCTTTTGCCGTGCAATTCTCTTTCGCAAGCCCGCATCCCTTGATTTTTATGTGTTGCCGAGGTGGAGATGTAGGACGTACTGTTCCGCACAGGATATTGTCACCAGCCTCCTGTTTAGGTATGTCCAGATTCAGGTGCTTTGTCCTTTCATGGACCCGTTATTTAGTTCAGGAATGGGTTAAGGAATGGGAGCCTTTTGTGATTCCTTCAGGAGTATGATGAGCGAAAAGTGGACGCGGTGGCTCGGCTGCGCGATGAATTTACTTGCTTGCGTGCTGAAGCCGCAGAGATGCCAGTACGGACTTCACTCACTGGCAGAGGGCTGAACCCAGAATGTTTGACCTCACAAAATGACCGCGAAACAACGCACTTGCACACCTTCGAACCGGACGAGCTAGGGCTGAAGGGCTGAAGGGCTGAAGGGCTGAAGGGCTGAAGGGCTGAAGGGCGTCTGAGGTGGACAACGTGTGCGGTGAGGATGGCAAGCCCTTGCTGGAGATGGACGCCATTGTCCTGAAGCGCCTCGGTCGCAAAGGGCTTGGCTTCCAGGCTTCCAGGCTTTCAGGCTTCGAGCTCTCAAGGAACAAAACGAGCGCTACCAACTCCCTATCTCAGCTGGGAGCCTGGAGAATGGCGACTGAGCGTCTGAGCGTCTGAGCGTCTGACTCTCAAGGACAGAGTGGCAATCTATGGAGGTGTGCTCTTGTCGGCCTTTGCAGTTCGCTTTCGAGCTGCCTTGGGGGCAGGCAGCGATGCCTGCAGAAGAACGTCAGACGCACCGCAACCTCCAGGCAGACATCAGCAAACAAGGATGCCGGGAACGAAAAACAAAGGCAATCCTTTTGTGGTTGTGTTTGGCAGAAGGCGCGCAGGCGTGAACTTGCTGAACTTCCGCAGGTCTTCTTCATGGAAAGGGCTAAAGCCGCCGGCGTGAAGGAGCAGAAGGAGGAAGAGGCCTGAAGGGCTGAAGGGCTGAAGGGCCGAAGGGGCAGCCCAAAGTTCGTTGCGGGTTCTCAAGCGTTTTCAGGAGGAGGACGATCCGGAGGAATTGGCCCTGCTTGGCGATGCAGAAATGCCAGAGGGTCAAGGCCACGCTCCGAGCCCGGGGCTTCGTGCTCTCAAGCTGCTGAGGGGAAGACAGCGGTGACGAGGAGGAGGATCCTCGAGATGCCGCGCGCAAGAAGCAGGACAGACGCGTCAGGCCGAGGCCGAGTGCCGAGTGAGGCCGAGTGAGGCCGAGTGAGGCCGAGTGAGGCCGAACTGGGATTAGGGAACCGCACCAATAGAGGAAATCGTAGATAAAGAAAAAAGGATAAGGGCGTAAGGGAGAGTCCCAAAAAGGGAAACAAACGGTTTTGACGAGTTTCAGGAAGAGGAGGACAAGGAAGCTGTCGGCACCGTGGAGAAGGCCAAGAATTGGAGCTCCGTGAATTTGGTCTTCCAGGCCTCGAGCTGTTCTTCTCAGTGATGAAATCGTGATACCATGAGGAGAGCAAGTTGAACTACCGGGGCAGTTTCACAGCGGGCTCTTTCACCAACTGGCTGTGGTACAGGCAGAAGTGGCAGAAGGTCTGGAGGCTTTGAGAGACATTAGAGACGTGCAGGGTCGTGCGGCCAAAGCTGGAAGAGACCAAGTCCAAGCTGCCAGAGCTCAGTGATGAGGACAGGCATGACCCGGCAATGAACCCGTGCTTGATGGATCACAGCACGGTTTATTTGCAGAGATTCGTGCACAGGCGCAAAGGCAATTGCAATGTGTTTCCGGAGCTTAGGAGATTGACAAGTTTAGCATCCAGGACGTGGAGGACCTGTGCATAGGTTTCGTTCCGAATAGAAAACGGGGAAGCGCACTGCGATCTTTTTGCCAGGAAGTCTTGGGCGAGTCACATCGGCCTGTTTGAGTGCTTCGAGAAAGCATTTGTGAGCGATGCGTGCGGCAGGTTCATGCCGGCCCAGAAGAAGAAGGACGAGAAGGCGGGGCTTTGTCGAGCACCTTGCGAGACTGAGTCGCCCTGACGGCAGGAAGACAAGAAAGACAAGAAGGACAAGAAAGATGACAAGGACAAGAAGGACAAGAAGGATAAGAAAGAGGAGGCAGGCTTCTTCTTGTCCATGTTGCAAAGCTAGAAGAGCTCTGGAGCGGGCGGGAAAGGATGACAAAAAGGACAAGAAGAAAGACAGCAAGGACGGTTGCTCACTGTTTCCCAATGCTTTTTTGTTCACTCGAGCCTTCCACTTTCTGACCTTTGCCTGAAAGGACAAGAAGAAAAAGAAGGACGCCATTCAGCTGAACGCAAAAGAGAAGCTTCAGGCGGGGATTGCAGATTGAAAGAGGGGCTCGCTTGGGTGCATAAAGGTGCAAAACCTGATCAAGAACATGATCTATGGAGAGCCGCCAAGCTGGCACAGACGGCAGCACGAGTCATCTCTTGGGCTGCGAGGTCGGGCAAGAACAAGACCATCACCACTGGCTGGGTGAACCTTGTCGACGAGAAGGACATCCCCAGACTTACGCCCTGGGAGTTCCAGCTGGCGCACATCATGCGCCTCGAATGGGCTGAGAGGCACGCGAGTGCCAGCATGGCTCAACTCAGGCGATCCGCCATGGCGCTGGAGTACACAGCCAAGAAGAAGAAGGACTCGACCGATCGACCAATCGATTGGTAGTGTATGGGTTCTCAAAATTCCTGTTTTCTGGAAACGCTCTGAATCGGTTTACCAAGTCGGAGAACATCACATATGCATCCTCGATGCAATGGCTAGACTAGCTCTTACGTGCCTTGATCATCCTTTTTGATTCATGTTAAAGCCATTGCTTTTGTGGCGTGCTGGCGTGATTCCGCACGCTCGTCAGGAGGTTCAAGACTTGACTGCCTATTACGAGATGTGCCAGTCGCTGGCTGATGCCATCGGCTTCATCAAAAAGCAGTTCCTCGGATTTGCAGAAGTCCAAGGGATGCAACGAATGGGCGGGAGAAGAGGAAAGCTTGGAGTTCAGTGGCAGGTGTGCTTTCCTAGCATGTGCTTGCCAGGTATTCTTTTGAGTTCCCCCAGAGTTCCGCAGAGGCTGGTCGCACAGCTCTGCTCGAGCGCCAAGCGTTGCATGTCCTTGGTGATTGCTGCATTGCTGCCATTTCAATTGGGTTTTCTGATTGTAAAGGGCCGGTCGCACTGCCGCTGCGCTGGGACTTCTGGACTTGAGCCGCAGGATTTCCTTCCGTTGAAAGACGCCCTGGACTTGCAGAAGCGCTTCAGAGAAGGATCCGTTGTGGGGGCAGCGCGGCTGAAATAGGTGCAGAAGGCATGCCAATTCAAGCGGAAAGCCACAGGCGTTCACGAAGGTTGGATCCGTCTCCCCTTGGGACTTGCAAGTGTCTAAATTATATATTTTCTGGGCCTGCGGCCTCTAGCCGGCTACGCCTCTTTGAAGTTATACCATGTCATGTCATGTTTTTTGCATGAGAAACGTAGCGTGTGCTATGATATGGCTGGTTAGGTTACATGTTGCCCACCTTAACCCCAGGTAATGCCGGGGATGCCGGCTTTCTGGGCCCCATCCGGGCCCCAACCCAGAAGGCTGACATGGGGTCGCGCGCGCGCGTGCCAGAGGACCCAAAAAAAGCAGCCCAAAAAGAGCAGCCCGCAAACCAGGCCGGAAACGCAAATGCAACAACACACCGTAAATAGCAGCGTTTTGTGGCTGGGGTCGCGCGCGCGCGCGCGCCAGAAGGCCCGAAAACCAACGCAAAAAAAGCAAGGACCGCGCAGCTCGCGAGCCAGCCACAGCAAAAGCAAAACGGACAGAACAACAGCCCAACGCTCAGCACAGCAGTTTTTGGCGGTATTTACAGCGTTTTGTAGAGCGAGGGCCCAGCATCACCGGCATGCCCGGCAGCGCTTGGCGCCAAAATGCGCAAAAATGAGCCAGTGCTTTTTGGGTGGAGAGGCTTTTTGGAAGGAAGTCTTGATGATGCATATACGCGATGTTTCGCAAGGGTTTCCCACAGTCAAGCAAAACCGCAAGCCGAGCTGATGATGCACAGGTGCCGGATTTAGGCCGCGCATCACGACCAAGTGGCGAGGGTCGGCGGCGCCAGGGTGCAGCCCCTATAGCTAAAGCTAGCAGGCTAATTGCCTACCGGCGACATGCTACCCCAAGGAGGCGTAGCCGGATTTAAGGGCTTACGCCAGCCGGGCGCCCCGAAAAGCGTCAGTGTTCCACGTGCTGTCATGATTTTCGCAAGGAACCCATGGAAAACCAGCAAAAACACTTGGTTTTTCTACTGGTTCGCCAAAAACGCTGCCAGAAATCGGGTTCGGCCGGGGAGAGGTGAGCCCTGCCTGCTAAGCAGGTTTCCACATTTTCCACGTTTGCGCCCGGCCTTGATCCATACAAAACTATCGAAAGCACAGTGTTTTTTCTGCAGTTCACCGAAGCCTACCAAAAATCGAGTTCGGCCGGGACCGTTGAAGCCTGCCTGCTAAGCAGGTTTCCATATTTTCCACGTTTGCGCCCGCCAAAAACCTTCAAAAACACTGTGTTTTTGCACGTTCTCGGCAAAATTGGCCCGACTCAGGGGACAACATCCCCAGCATCCCCCGCATCACCGGCCTTATCCGCATCAATGTCCGCCATCTCAACAAGTCGTCAAAAATCGCCTGAACAAATTCACAAATCCTTCGCCCCTTAGCAGTGAATGCAGCCTCCGTTCGACACGGAGTGAACGTGGAGTGAACATAGAGTGGGGCTAGAGTGAACCTAGAGTGAACCTAGAGTGAACCTAGAGTGGGTCGGCGGCAGGGGGCGCGAGCCTTATAACCTTCGGTTAGAGGGAACGAAAGGCCTCGGGGCAACCACGGGCTCGGGGCGCCCGGATTTACACGCTGACGCGACACAGCCGGCCACCGGGCACCTTGCCCTGCCCGTTCTTGTATTTCCTTTTCCTTGAATTCCCGTTTCCTGGCATTTCCCTTCACTTCCTTTCTATTCATTTCCGCTTCAGCTCCCTGCATTTCCTTAAGCGCCCCTTCATTCGCATTCCTTTCCCTTAGTTCATTGTAGTTCCCGCGGCTTCAACCTCGCTTCCCATTTCACGTCACTTTCCTGCACATTCCTTCATTTCGCTTCAATTTCTTTTCGTTTCCCATAATTTCAAACATTTTGCTCACTTCCAGTCACTCCTTTCTGCAATTTTCAGCCCCTTGTTTCGCATCGCCATAGCATTATTTGCATCATCCGGGATGATGCTGGCAATGCTGGGGGTGTTGTCCAGTATTAGGCACCCCCCCAAAAGTGCTCGTTTTGTGACTCTGCGGGGAGATGCTACAAAAATCCTCGAAAATCGCCTAAACCAATCCGCGAATCCTTCGCCCCTTATAAGGGCAGGCCCAGCACAAAACGCATGCGCGTGGTCCGCGCACGGTCCTTTCATGGTCGGAGGCATGGGGCGCGCGGCCTTATACCTGAAGGTAAGTAAGCCCTGCAGGCTTGGCCTGCGGCCCGATCACGTCCGGTGGCCGGATTTACACGCTGACGCAACACAGCCGGCCACCGGGCACCTTGCCCTTCCCGTTCTTTTATTCCCGAAAGCATCGGGAAGGGTTCTTCCGTGCGGAGCCCTTGGACAAGTTACATAGAGCCAAGTCACATAGAGCCAAGTTACATAGAGCCAAGTTACATAGAGCCAAGTTACATAGAGCCAAGTTACATAGAGCCAAGTTACATAGAGCCAAGTTACATAGAGTTACATAGAGCCAAGTTACATAGAGCCAAGTTACATAGAGCCAAGTTACATAGAGCCAAGTTACATAGAGCCAAGTTACATAGAGCCAAGTTACATAGAGCCAAGTTACATAGAGCCAAGTTACATAGAGCCAAGTTACATAGAGCCAAGTTACATAGAGCCAAGTTACATAGAGCCAAGTTACATAGAGCCAAGTTACATAGAGCCAAGTTACATAGAGCCAAGTTACATAGAGCCAAGTTACATAGAGCCAAGGTTAGGTAGAGCTTAGAGCTTCGGCGTTAGCAGCTATGTAAGTTAGTTTAGGTTTCTAAGGCGCCGGGGCGGGAGTTTGATCGTCGCTCGGGATTGCGCCCCTCTGCGGAGATTCGCGTGGTCGAGGTTCAAAAACTGAGGACTTTTTACGATTTTTAGCATGCGCGCGCAACCCTCTGCGGAGATTCGCGTGGTCGAGGTCAAAAAACTGAGGACTTTTTTTGATTTTTAGCATGCCCGCGCGACCCTCTGCGGAGATTCGTGTGGTCGAGGTTCAAAAACTGAGGACTTTTTACGTGTGCGCGACCCTCTGCGGAGATTCGCGTACTCCTTTTCTGCAATTTTCAGCCCCTTGTTTCGCATCACCAGCATGCATAGCATCATTCGCATCATCCGGGATGATGCTGGCTGTCCAGTATTAGGCCCCCCAAAAAGCGCTCGTTTTGTGACTCCGCGGGGAGACGCTACAAAAAGCATCAACAATCGCTTAAACGAATCCGCAAATCCTTCGCCCCTTATAAGGGAGGGCCCAGCGCAAAACGTATGCGCATGTTCCGCGCATGTTCTGCGCATGGTCGGCGGCATGGGGCGCACGGCCTTATACCTGAAGGTAAGCCCTACCGTGGGACACAAGTGCAAGAGCCAGCGTAACAAAAAACGGGACATGGGAGAGGGAGACAAGCGGGACACAACCCTGAAGCCAGCGTCGCAGCATCTGGCATCCAGACACAGGGAGACAAGCAGGAGACACGACCGCCGCAGAGACTGGGAGACACAGGGACAAGCGGGAGACACCACCCCGGAGCCAGTGCCCGCAGAGACTGGGAGACAGACACAGGGAGACAAGCGGGAGACACAGAAAGACAACTGGGAGACACGACCCCGGAGCCAGCGTCAGCATCTGGCATCTGACCGCGGGGACAGGGAGACACGTCAGAGCATCTAGCATCCGACCGCAAGACAAGCAGGACACGACCCCGGAGCCAGCGTCACAGCATCTGGCGTTCGACCGCGGAGACTGGGAGACAAGCGGGAGACACGACCCCGGAGCAAGCGTCACAAAAAACGGGAGATGGGGGACACAGGGAGACAAGCGGGAGACACAATCTTGGAGTCAGCGTCACAGCATCTGGCAACACAGGGAGACAAGCGGGAGACACGACCCCGGAGCCCGCGTCAGCATCTGGCATCTGACCGCAGAGACTGAGAGACACAGGGAGACAAGCAGCAGACACGACCCTGGAGCCAGCGTCACAGCATCTGGCATCTGACCGGAGAGACTGGGAGACAGGAAGACAAGCGGAAAACAGGACCCCGGAATTGGCGTCACACTTTCCTATTCTCTATACCTCAAGTTAGAACCCCAATGCTTCGCTGTTTGGGGAATGACTACGCACCCTCTGCATCTCCAATCGGGTCTAACGCTACCCTTGAAACGTATATAAAAAAAGGGACGACAACGATTATGATGTGATATAATGACAAGCGTGTCATCATCATCATCACCGTCATCATCATCAGCATCATCCTCGTCATCGTCATCGTCATCATCACCGTTATCATCATCGATGATAACCATCATCGTGCATCCTCTGCATCACCAACAGTCATGATGGTAATCATGTCTACGCATCCTCTGCATCTCCAATCAGGTCACAACGATGATGATGTGATGATGATGAGCATGTCATCATCACCATGATGGTGGTCATCATCAGCATCATCGTCGTCATCATCATCAGCATCATCCTCGACGCCAGCCAGCAGCGGCGGTAGTGGCAGCAAAGAGCGTAATGGCTAGTCCAGCACAGACTGCGAATGCAAGTCCCTCCTCACGGGCATGATGTCTGGCTCTAACAGGACACTTGAAACGCACACGAAAAAGACACGGATGACGACAATAATGATCATGATGACGAAAAAGACACGTCTTTGAGGTGCAAAGGATGCTACGATGACGGTATTGCTTACGCTGATAATGTTGAATCTTCGGCTATGCTCATTTACCAACCAACCTTGGACTTGTGCTGTAACCACCCTTCCCGTGCGCCTCCCCCTTTGAGGAGAAGGGGTCGGCCGATATATATATATATACACATATTATTCAGTATGTATATATATATATATATGTAGATAAAGGATGTACATGTTTCCATTTGGGTGGTTGTGTGGGACACCCGTGTTTCAGCGTGTCGCAAGCCGCTCAGGCGAAGTTTGATCTCTTGTGGTACCTGCAGAATGGCGCCCACCTCTTGGCTGGCAGCACCTTAGCGAGAATGGGGGCCCGTCTTCTGTTGCGTTGGGATTTGAATGGACTTCGCAAAGGCGGCTTTGCGAAGAAGCACCGCACCACAGTCTTCAAGCCATTCAAGATCCAAGAGCTGGTCACCGACGCAATTTTGCAGCCAGGACCAGCTTTCCAAGCTTTAGCTTCGTTTGCGTTCATGTCGGAGGCTAAGATGAAATGTTGGCCAGCCGTTCGTGGACCGGCTTTGCGTCCATGGGATTTGCAGCTTGAAACAGTGCAGGACCCCAGCTGGTGTTTGCCATCGCACCGCCTGGCACTGGTAAAACTGCAGTGGTGGCACATATCTTGAGACTCAACCGAGATGGCAACGGGTTTGTTCATGTCCGATTCTCCAGTGACTCTCTCTGCGCTTGCCGGGCGCCTTGTGACGAGCCAGCTGTGGCCTGAGGAATCTGTTCCCTGTGCACACGTTGCTCGACCCGCATTTCTGTGCCGCAGTGCCGCATGTAGGATGCTTCTTGTGTTTGCTTTTTCGATCGCGCCTCCATCGAGGTCACTGTGCATGTGCAAGTCTCTGCAAAAGAGCCCTGGGTTCCCCAATTGCAAACATGTGAAAGTCCCCCTGCCAAAGGTAAGCAGGAAAATCGGTCACGGTACTGCAAATGGTGCTTCACCTTATTGCAGGTTCACGGACCGACTTTTTTTTCCCAGAGAACCAGCCGTGGATTTTTGAACACTTTCATACATGTTCATTCATTTTCATACATTTTCATATTTGCAGTGTGCAGCACCCTGGTGCTTTTGAACGCCCCGTGTGTTGTCTCCATGCCTGAAAAGTTACCCGCTTGCCACTTGTGTAAGACATGTGAACCGGACAGTGGTACTGCTGAGCTGCTGAAAGCACGGGCTGGATGAGGCTATGAGAAGCAAGATTGCACGATGGGGAATGAGCTTGAGGTGAAGTCGGCCATTGTTGCGGTTGGTTTGCTGCTTTCACGTTGAATCTGGCCCAGAGAGCAATGCACTACTGTAGTGTGTAATGTTGCCACGAGACGATCGTTGGCTCCAGTGTTTGTGCATGCATTTCAATGCCGGCGTCATGCGTGGGCAGAAGATAGTTTGGCTGCAAACATGTGCCACACACACACAGAGAGACACCATTTGGGGGCACGGACAGCCGAGGTTAGTTTTTTGCTGTCCAGCGCTGCCTGTGGTGCTGAGTGTTGGCCGCATCTCCAATTCGTTGGGCATTCCCTATGCATTTTGTGCCTTGGCTTCGTAGCTTTTTCCATTGGACTCAGAGCCCGAGAAAATGTCAGGCAAGGGCCGGCGCATTACCCCGAGCTACTCCTGTGGGCGCGGGCTTGCCACGCACGTGGACATGCCTGCTGAAGGGGACAAGCACCTCGCGTTGCATTGCAGTCACTTTTGTACCTGAGCAGCGAACGCCATTTTGGCCATTTGGAATCATCTAGTACATGGGCAACATTTCTGGATTTGACAATATGGGGACGCCGTAGACTCTTGTCTTGCAAAGGCTTGCAGTGCAGTGGCACATAACAGGTCTTGGGCAGGTGCACATGAGGGTTCGGTCAAACTAGCCAGTAGGCTCCGGTCAATTTGGGCTGGACATGCCTGATGCCCCTGATGCCTCGCTCCAGTGAGGCCGCCTCAAACCGCGGTGGAGTCGCTGAGATACATGGCCCGCAGCTCAAGTGGGGTGTGGAGTGGCATGATATCTCGTTGGCATTCCAAAAGCCGATTCGACAGGTGGCAAAGCTGAACTTGGAGCGCAAGAAGAAGCGTTTGGCAGAGAAGAAGAGGAAGCGTGCCTCGTCTGCGAGTCTCGCGCGCTTCCCGCGCGGCGCTGGGCCTTCCGTGCGCCGAGGCAACCTTCACGACTTGAAGCGCTTTCCGCGCCGCCTGGCGACGCACCAATGCGGTTTAGGTTGTATGTCATTCAAGGCACTTGAGGCCTTCATGGTGCTTGGTGCTTGACCCATTTGTGGCAGCCGCACAGTTGAATGACCGTCGAGGCATATTCCTCATGTGTGATTCTGCCAGCGCAGCTTGGCTGCTTCGACAGCTTGATCCGAATAGGCCCGATTGTGAAGCAGTCATAGCGCTGGCACAGAGGGAGTTCGCTGTGTACCCAAGAGACGGGCAAACCTGGTGTGGGAGCAAGTGCAACTGCAGGACAATTCTTGTCGTTGACGAGCCTCCGATGGGTAGCGACGTGTATCCAGACAAGCCGGAGGACATGCACACTGATCAAACATATCCAGATGTGCCTCATTGCACCAGGACAACCCGCTTGCTTGTGCCATGATGCAAACCATGATGACGCCCATGCTCGCGGCTCAACTTTTAGAGTTGAGCCCAGACAATGGTCGAGCCAGGTACAAAACCGTGCTGATGTCGGCTACCCTGCCAAGACCCGAAGCTTTGCCAACGTCCACAGCTCAGCGAGCCCCTGCGCCTGTGCTTTGTGCAGCTCGGCTCAGGCTCGTGAACTCCTTCCTGGAGCGCTTCAAGATCCCAGACTCCGAGCGGGATCTGCACGTGAGGCGCGCGCGCAACCCCTCTCAACCTCTCGGCCTCTCGCCTTGCGCGATCCCCGCAAATCCGGCAATCCGAGATCTCCGAGATTTCGTTCTCGCGCGAGATTCGTTTTTGCGTTGCGTTGCGTTGCGTTTGAGTAAACAAATCCGGAGCGCGAGAGCGCGAGGGAGTGTATGAGCACCGAGCTGGACCGTGGCGCGGTGATGTGCGGCCCCTCGGGTGCTGTGGCTTTCCCGCACCAGCACCTCGACAAGACATTGGCAGCTCCAGCAAGCTTCAGCAAGCTTCAGTTGATCTGAAGGAATGTTCAGACGGCAGACGAGCTCAAGCGACTTTGCGAGAGGCAGTGCTTGAGTGCTTGGCGATTCGGCAATTCCAAGCTTTCCGTTCAGGTTGCCCGCAGATCCCTTGGTGCTGAAAGCGTACACCGAGCGAGCTCTGGCCAAGAGCTTAAAAACGGAGTTCACGGAGTTCACGGAGCTCATGCTTCGCCGCTTCGCGGCTTCGCCGTTTCGCGGCTTTGTGCAGGCAACGCTCTTGCTGCGCTGGCGGGCCTTAGAGAAGGATCGTCGTGGATTTGCGTGGCAGGTTTGCTTTGGGCTTCTCGATGCATTCTTTTGCAAATCGCGCTCACTGCAAGCTGCATCATTCTTTGGCGCAAGACTCCATAGATTTCAAGGGGTAACCTAGCCCGCGCCCAAGCTGCTCCCCAAGTGCAGGCACCAGGAGGGTTACGGGTAGCCGTCATTGGACATTTTCAGTTGCCGGCATTTTTCAGGTACGCCGCCAATGTCGGCCAACGCTGCCAGGGTGAACGCACTGACGCGCCATGTCAAGGCCTGCAAGCGATGTCTTTCTGACCTGGGCGCTCGGAAGTTCCGTCAGGCCGCGGACAGCACTCCTGACCTGGAGGACGACACGTGCGCCGTGGCCGGGTGCATCCGGCTCGTTCTCGCGAGGACCTGGCACAGCGTGCCTGGCCGGACGGCTGCGGCTGCCGAGCCCTCAGGTCACCGGGTGGACGGCGCTTCCACGGCGATTCTGGAAGCAAGGGTGGCTTCCGCGAGGCAGCGTCACTCCTGCTGCCGCTGCTGCGACCGCACACATGGAACCAGAGACGCCGTTGGCTGCGCAGCGGTGGCCAAGCCGCTTGTCTTAGCTGCCGGCAAACATGGCTGTGCATAAGAAAATCACTGCACGACTGGATTTCTGACGTAGGAGATCAGCCAGTCAAGCAGCCTGAGATTGTCACGGCGGAGGACTGAAATCCAGTGACAGGCGGCGAACGTCTTGATGAGTTGCACGTGCGCGCAACTATGCGTTGCGATTCAGCCGGCTCAGTTGGAGCCGAAAGCCTTGGCCTGGCTGACAGGATTTCATTCAGTCTCTGCGTGGCCGCGACATCAAGGTGATACTTCAAGGCGTCGCTATTGTGGGACTTTTCCTTGGCAGTTTGGTGTGTTTTCAGGCAAGCTCATCAAGGAATTCGTGGATCATCCTATTGCGCTTCGGCACTCCTTTGTCCCCCATGGCAAGAGACGGAACCTGCCTCGCTGTCTCGCTGTGAGGTGTGGCCTTCCGTGAACGCCATGGCGGAGAGCTACCGCCTGGCCCGGGAGAACCCTGAGCTGGGCAGCGCCATCGGCTTCAGCGCCGCGGACGGGAAGCACGTTGCAAAAGCGAGGGCAGGTTTTGGAGTTCTCGGAGTTCTCGGAGTTCTTGGCGTTCTTGGAGTTCTCTTGGAGTTCTTGGGGTCTTGGACGGGTCTTGGGCGGGTCTTGGAATCCTGAGGTGGATACAGGATGAGCAGGTTGGGTTGGATGCGTCGGAGAGCTGAGATCCCACTTAGCTGCCACTTGGCAGGTTCCTGCATATTTGCGAGTCAGCGGACGACCTGGTTCTACAGTCACAAATGCAGCGTGAGTTGGGGCGCCGCACTGGTCTCTCACTCGGCATGGGATTTGAGTTTGCTTCGACAGGGACCATGTCTTGTGCGCGATGTTTTCGCATTCAAGCAAGGGGTTCGCAGCCATTTGCACTCAGGAACTTGTTTCCAACGGTGTGTCGGGCAAGACGCGTCAAATGCGAGCGCCCCAGCCCGCGACAGGCCTTGATTTCTCGGGAGGCCTCACCTTTGCCTAATAAGCCAATCGGATCATAGGGAGGCGCAATGCGCAATGCGCAAAAGCTCAAAATATCTCAGGCGATGTGGTCCACCACCTATGACATCGACCAGAAGTTGCTCGGCGTGGGATGTACTTGAGTCTGGCCAGTCTGGCCTTAGTGCGAGTCCCGCCTGAGGCACGGCACCAACTACCATGCGCGCTTCAAAGTCTTCATGAGAATGGCACAAAGCCGCAACCTAGTACTGGGAGGTGCCATGACAGATGTGAAGGGAGTCTCGTCTGAATAGCCTGAGAAATGGGTGGATAGGAGATCAAGCCTCAATCCTGGAGAGTGATAGTCGCATACGGCTTAATATGGAAAGCCTCCCACTAAGTCAAGGAGATCGCAGCAGGAGTCCATCGCAGCAAGAAGCAGCTTGGCTTCCGATGTTCGACGCATTTCACTTGGCACTGATAGCGCCAAACAAAAAGCGCCGTTTGTGCTGCAGGACCCGGACTTGTTTGTGCGAGTTGCGGAGCGAAAGCCCGACGGCGGCATCGTCCTGCGAGGGTGCAAAGCACATCAGCGCCGCACTCAGAGCAGAGTGGCGGTTGGTCACTTGGCAACTTGGCAACTTGGCAACTTGCCTGAGGACCGGCAATCTCAACTCCCACTGGATGATCATCATGCCAGGTGGCAAGATGGAGGTGGCCGATAAGGAGCCGCCCCGCCCTGCCGCCCTGCCGTGCCGGCTGCGAGCTGCCCGATCGAGCTGCTAGGACTTCGCCGTGGCGTGCGCGGTGCCTGTGGATGCTCCGGGCCGGAAGCTCGGGGAAGCCCCGAGAGCCCGGAGAGCTCGCAGAGCTCCGGGAGTCGGCCCAGCGCTCGCGACGCCGCGAGTCGAGAGGGCTGACCTACATCTACGGCCGGCAAAGCTGCGACCTGCGCGCCATGGAGCCAGGACCTGCCGACACCGAAGTTTCTGTAATAAAACTCATGAAAGAGAGAGCGAGAGAGCGACAGAGCGAGAGCTCCAGGCGACATTGACCAGGGCAACGCGAAGTTTGGCGGCCAGGCCCGACGGCTCCACCTGGGTGCTCCACCTGGGTGCTGGGCTCCTCTCCATCTCTGTGAACGACAGGAGACGCTGACATGCTTTGAGGACGTGTACGTACCACCCGAGCGCCTTACCGTTAGCTTCACAAGCATTCCAGCATCATGAGCATTGCGGTGCTCAAGGTATGTCTTCATGGACGGGGAGGTTGACTTCACCCAAGTCTTGGTGGAGCGGTTCACCGCCTACCACCGCCGCGATTGCCTCAGAGCGGGAATCAGCAGGGCCGGGGGTTGGGTGAGTCATGCGGTCCGCTCTTTAGGCTCCTACGTTTGCAAAGCTGGGCTTGGCGATGTCATGCTGGGCGCGGCAGCAACCATCGCTGACTACAACGGAGTGGCAAAGGCATCGCACATCAAGGAATCCTTTGTGAACAGTGCCCAAAAACCGGCCTCTCCAAAAAGGGCAGTCGCCTGTTGCTACCTGACAGGACAAGTTGGTGGAGATAGCCTATCTCAATGAGAACATTGCAGGAACTGCCATGGCATCCTCTTACGGCGGTAAGGCCACGCCCTCCGGGAATTTCCTGCCAGACGTTATGACCCCTGGCATTTTATACCTCATCCTGAAACCAAGCAGACACAAACAAGGGAAGGATCATTGTGATGCTCGGGTGCCTATTTAGCCCTTGGACTCTGCTGCTTCATTGGATGTGCATCAGCTGTCATGACTTCAGACATGCCCGTGTCTTTGTCTTGCGATTTTGGAATTCCACCGCTTCAGCATCCTAGGATGGCGAACATATGCAACTCGTCGGTGAGCGCGGGTGGCGTGTGGTCTACTTCTCGGGGTGTGTGGTGTCCTTCTCGTAGAAGCATGCGGAAGCATGCGCAAGAGTGACTGCTGGCTCGAGGCAAGCACAACGTGACCAAGTTGCCCTATGAAATTGCACGCTTGGCTCAGGAGTGCAGCATAGCGCAGCATGCGGCAACTTACGCTCAACGCAGGACTTGGCCGGAGGGCTCCTTGTCACGCTCCCTGCAGATCTCGAATTCCGTACCTTGGATGTTTCGAGAACAGCTCACTTTCGTCAAGTTCAGTTTTGGACAGGATCAACCTGAGGCAATGAAGTTGCCGGGCCTTTGTTGGAGAAGTATTTGAAGGGCAAGAAGGGCGTGACAGTGGAGAACCGGCGGCGCATCCTGCGGCTCATTGAGAACATGACGATGGGCAGGACGCTCTCGGAGAGTCGCAGAGTTAAGCTAGGCAGAGTAACGCCATCAGCCACTGCCATGGCCATGTCTGTGAGGGAGCCGAACTTGGGAACTTGTGAGGAACGCGGTGGGATATTTGAGCTCCTCGGCCTAAAGCGCCTATTGCCTCCGAAAGCGGCTTGAAAGAGATCTGTAGGCGAGAGCCTGCATGGTGCGGGCTCGCCTCAAGCGCAGCGCGTGCTGATCCAGCGACTCTTCGACCTCGACAACAAGAAGCGGCAGCCCGCAGAGAACTCGAGCCGAGCCGAAACTCTGCGTGCCGAACTCCGAAGTGCTTGTGACTCAGCCGAGGCTTGCAAAGAATCTCGCCGGCGTTGTAGAATGAAGCGCACCTGGAGGACATGGTGGGGGTCAGTCGAGCGAGGCCGGTCAAGGTTTGCAAGCCTGGTTGTAATTCCATGTAGCAAGATTCCGTTCTGGGTGTGAGATTCCGCAGGAATACCTGGAGTGCCTGCAAAGCGCTCAACGGCCTTCCAGTCAAAGAATGTGCTGTCAGATTCAAAGAACATGCCGTCAGATACGGATGGCTTTGGAAAAGAAGCAAAGGACTCTGTTTCTATTTGTACAGTCTTGAACAGTGGCATTAGGGGCTTGCTGGAAGAGGTGTTACAGACTAACACCTCATGCTGTAAAGCCAAATAGACCTGCAGAACAGGCGCGGAAGGCAGGAGCACTGGTGCACCAAGCCACCCATGTTTCGGGAGCATGGGCCAATGCGGGTGTGTCAGAACAGAGAAGTGGGCCTTCTTGTTTTTTTTGGCTGAAAGATTGATCTGCTTTTGTTTGCCGTGCAAAGCTTTGAGCTTGCGGGCTGTACTGCGTGCATGTCTCATGTCTCACGGCGTTCCAAGAGAAGCTTGGTTGCCCTTCGGTCGATAGCCATGGCACTCTCTTTGATTTCACGGTGACTGCGGTTCCGCGGACGCAAAAAGCGCGAGAATGGGCCGGTGCTGTCCGAGATGGAAGCGGGGAGAGACCAAAAGACGCGAGGACGGCAAGCTGAAGGATGGATTTAAGAAGCAGGTGGTGGCATCCCCAGTCGAGAGCGTAAGGGCACAAGGGAAGGCGGGGGCTCACGCACGTCCTCCGAGGTCCTTCCGGAGGACAAGTTTTCGGACCTCTCTGAGCTCCACCATGCGTCCGGGAGCCTAAGCCGAGAGAAAGACGTGAATTTAGGCGGTTTGCAGCCGTTTTTGTTTGCATCCTTGCCGCTTGGGACTTAGGTCCATCCGCTCCTACGCCAGGAGCTCACATGCCCAGACCTCTTAGAGTGGCTGAGCTGACAGAGGCTATGGACTTGCTGACCTGCGTGGCGAAGCAAGAGGATGACGAGTTTGCCAAGGCGCGAATCCCATCACTATGGCTTTGCCCCAGCTTCGTTGTTTTCCCTTTTCATTTCTTTGTATTGATTGCTTTGTTTGCTTTGTTTGCTTTTCATTTGCTTCTTTAGCATCGTTTTGCTGAGGCGTTTTGCTGCCCGGGATCAAGCCTCAGACATGAACAGCTCACCCGGCAGCCGAGTAGCAAGCGCCACGCTGAGATACCACCGGCGACAACCTCTTCCCGCAGTTTGACCTGTCCGAGATGCTGTTCGGCAACGCATATGCGTTCCCAGGAGAGCTGCGCTGGCCATGTTGACTTGATGGTCGTCGGCGAAGGCCTCACCCTGGTGGCAGATGACCATCCTTTGGTCCGCACCTCAAATCTCACGGTAGCTCACAATCACAACCTGGGCAGATGAGTAGATGAAGGTAGTGGACACTCCCCACCGGAAATTGCTGCCCTGTCGATTCTCTGCACTTTGGGTTCCTTTCAATACCAGATCGTGACTCACATGTCGAGCTTCTTTTTCTTTCTAATGTGACGTGGAAGTTGCCCACAATGAATATTGATCCAGGGCCAGTGTGGCTTTTGCAGCATGAGAACTTAGGAGTTGTTTTTTCTTCTTTGTAATCGGAGCGCGTTTGGGTGCCTCCTTGTGGTGATATAATCTGGGTGAGGTTGAACTCAGCCGCCTAGGAGCAGATGCTGAAGATGTCGGAGAATCTTCAGGACGCCATGCGGTTCAAGACTGTGCCATGCGATTCCCGGAAAAAATGTCAAATCCGACTTAGTCCGCGGAAGTTACCCTTGTATTGTATGCCAAATTGTACCGCTTGCTTGGGCGGGTTGGCGAGCCAGCCCTTTCGGTATGGCAGCCATGGCACTGCAAGACGAGGCGCAATTCCCGAGGGCCTCAGACATTGAGGCAGACATCAAGAAGCAAGAAGAAAGTGCAGTGAAGGCGTGATGAAGCGTGCCAGCGCCCTCCGATTTTTTTGCATGTGAGGAAAAGAAATTCAAGGAGGATGATGAGCAGCAGGAGGAGGTCCCGACCTGTGAGATTGCAGCAGTCGATTTGCAGACATGCAGGCGCCGCAGATGAAGCTCAAGTTCTCACCTGACCTCGTCATTCAGGCACAGCAGTCTAAACAGAGATTGCTAGGGGCTGTGCCAAGCTGGCGTAGTCATATCTGTGCCTGCCAGTCCGAGCAATTCTTGAAGCGCTGGTGTCCGAAACGACCTGCCGGTGCTCACACAATCCCCAGAGTGCTCCCGACAGTGTGCGGCTCTCGTGGAAGGGACTCCATACGCTTGCATCGCATCTGCACTTGATCTCAGGAATGAATTCAAGGCCATCAAGAATCTTCCGGTCGATGAGCGTTGGCAGATGCTGCTTGGCAAATGAGGCACGGAACAACACCCACCAAGCCGTGCTTGGGAAAGGCTCGCTCTTGCCGGAGCCGGCTCCTTCGATCCGAAGCTTGATTCGGACCGCGGCACATTGGCCATGTCTTGTGTTTTTCTCGCACCCAACGATTGAAAGCATCTGGTATGCGGAGGATCCCTCCAATCCCGTGTACACGCAGTGGGTGCACGAGAGCATGACGCAGAGTCTGGGCAGCACAGTTATGCAGCTAAGACAGCCGCCTCTCCAGAGCTCACATTCGGTGATCTCATTTAGCCCACTTCGCAAGTCGGCAAGACGAGGGGAGAAGACGCAGCTGAGGAACAAGCTCGCGTGCGTCACTGCGGGCAAAGAGTTCACGTGGGGTGCAAACGTGCCCGCTTCTACTGTGGTGGCTTCTTGGCGCTGGCGTTCTCCGCGCTCCCCTGTTGGCCATGGCAAGGGATTGGGTGAACGGTTCTTCACAACGGTAAAGGCAATGGATTTGTTGGACACTCGCTTGAGATTGGCAGCTATGCCCTCTAAGGTGACCAAGTCCTTTGCAGAGACTACGTCTGTAGCAGGCAGGACCCGCAACGTTTGAACATACAGCTCCAAATATTGAGGCTCATTCACAGCTCTATGCAAGAAGGGAGCTGCTGCAGGTATGCTGCAGTATGTGGGTCGAGCTGCACGACGAGGTCTTACTACACATGGTCAGGCAAGGGGACAAAACGCGTGGCGTTCACGGTTCGGGCGCTGCGTCTCTTGGCTGACTCTCGCCCGAACATTTTCAGGCCATCTTCGAGCGGGACGAAGACCTGCAGCGTATCTTCGCCAGCCCCGACGGCCTCAGCACGGAGGCGCTGACCATGGAGCGCTACGCGGCCGCTAGGCTGATGCTCTTTACGCGCACTGTGCTGCAGCCAGAACAGCCGGACCAGCCTCTCTGCTTGGCTCTGAGGAGTGGTGGAAAAGCCGTGGCAAGGCCCGATCCGAATGGCGCGATGTCGCAGCTTCGTGTGGTTGGCCTTGCAGGCTTGGTGATAGCATCGGAGCATCCAGCCCTCGATGACATCAGTAAGCAGGACATGGCGGGCCAGGTGGCTGACCCATCCAGAAGGACTTGGCCGTTAGACAGCTCCGCTGTCTTGCTGCTTTGCATGTTTCATCCGTGCGAACACAAGCAATTTTTGGCACAGCCTTGCAGAGTTTGCGCAAATTGCAGAAGCCACGCATCGATTAGATGCCTGGCAAGAGAGAGGATGCCCGGGGAGCAAAAACCGCGTGTTGCTCGGCCGATATGTTGTTTGCCCTCTTCTGCCTCATTTCAGTGAGTGCCCAAATTTTCCACCCGCGATTCATGCGGCCTTCATTGTAATCTTTCAAGCTTGCGGTCCCATGTTTGTCTGATCAACCGCAATTTCTCGCGTCCGTGATGTTTCAGCCTAAATTAGACCCGTGTGTCATGGCTTTGCTCACCTCGAGCTGCAGCTTTTTAGGTGATTGGTAGGCTGGTTCGACAGTCTGCCGGTCCAGGGAGCCGCGTCTTGGGCAGGTCTCCATGGGCGGGAAGGGCAAGGCCAATGGAGGCTACGGAAAGGGAGGCGAGCTGCGAGACTAGCCGCAGGCCGTTAGACTCGTTACTCAGGCGACTGGAAACCTGCCGACGGGAAAGGCGGGCTTTGCGGCTTGCGGCTGGGCGCGTTTGCCTCGATCGAGGCTCCGGTCGAGGACGCTGGCCCAAAGAGAAGAGCCGTCAAAGTACGCGTCCTTGGTTTTTGAGGCGGACTGGACAGGTCGTTGGGCGCGAGCTGAGGTAGAAATGGTTGGAGAGAGGGAGGCACATTCCGCCCTTAGTGCCACAGCTGTAGAGAGTGTTTCTCAGGCGCAGGCTGGCAGCAGCCTTGGCAGTTCACGCCGCAGGTGGGGCATAAGACCTACCAAAGATCACCCCTCTATTCAGACATCGTCCCGCCACACAAACTTATTACATAAATGTTCACAGATATGTTTCAAAATATAAAATTTTATGATAAAGTTATATCATAAAATTCTACCAGCATCCTTACAAATCGCGGTTTAAATTATCAAGATGTTTTTTGCATTTCAAATGTCTAGACCAGTTAGGGTTTTTAACTTTACAACCGCAAACCTCACAATCTTTTTCAATTTGGTTATATGCCTTTTTTTCATCGCGGTGCTCAGCATCATATTTCTTGCTTACCTCCTTAATTCTTTCTGGATTTTTTGCCCTATACCTCCTCCAACTTTCTGCACAAACTATGCACCAAGTTTTCCCAGCAACTAATTGACTAGGAAGTTTTTTACATCTACATGAAGTGCATTTTGTTTTTTCAGGTTCATCCATCCTTACTATAGTTACATAGTTTCCCTTTAGGTCAAAACCATCTTAAAAATCCAAAATCCCAAATTCCCAAAATATAATTTTCCAAAATCCCAAAATCCCAAAATATAATTTTCCAAAATCCCAAAATATAAAATCCCCATAATTTCAAAACATAAATCTTACAATGTTTTTTATTGTAAGGTTTATGGTGTAATTTCAATTCATATTGTTTCAATATCAACAGGTTTTTCTTCAATAATAGTTGGTGATTCCTTTTGCTTCTGATTGTTATTATGCTTCTGAGTTTTTTTTATGTTCCGACCATCTATTTAACTTTGCACTGACAAATATCACAAAATACTTCAATTTGAGTATAGACTTTGCTGTATTCTTTCATTCTGGCATTTATTTCTTCCTTATGTGCTTCACGGTATTTGTTGCTTTGCTGATGTCTTTGTTCCTTATTATTCTGGTGTTTTTCCCTTTCCTTTTCCAAGCACCTTATACAATATTTATTTATTCCGTTGAATTCTTCAACTGGTTTAGTTGCATTACATCTTTTGCAATACTGCTTCTCCATAATTTACTAAGGTAATTTACCTTTAAACCTGTATCATACCATACCCTAAATCCCAAAATCCCAAAATATAAAATCCCCATAATTTTCAATCATAAATCTTACAATGTTTTTTATTGTAAGGTTTATGGGTTAATTTATGGTTTAAGTTCAGGATAATAATTTAATTGATGACTATTAAATTGTGTATATATCTTACCTCTTTCATGCATCATTTTTAAAATAATATTAATTTCTCTCACTGTATTTTTGACATTAAACTTTTTTCGGTCAATATATGTTTTAATGTCTTCTTTTACATCAAGCCCTTCCCTACTATGACAAGTCAACATCCATAATATACCTTTAATCATTTCATATTTTTTCTTACTGATTTTCAGAAATGCTCTAACATAACTATAAGGTGGTCTTTCATACACAGTTAAAAATATCAAAATGTCATCTTCAACATTTCTTTCATTAAACCTTTTAATACTTAAAGTACATTTGATTAATTCTTGATAAATCTCTAATTTCTACAAATTTTACATAAATCTTCTTCACCCAAAGCATAATCAATAATATTATTAACTATTCCATTAGGTAAATTAATTGTGTATAATTCCATATTTCCTTTTTTAAAGTGGCAACAATCATAGCATTTCTTATTAATATACTTATTGATTTCAATGCCGTTCATTTCTTCACTATTAATATAAGGTGTTTTTTCTTTAGGACCTATTTCGCCTAACACTAAATTATTAATTTAAGTCTTTCTATTATTTTATCACACGTTGTTTCATTATAAATATTACTTCCTATTTTTGTTCTAAACAACCCCATTGTTCTAATTGCATGTGTTATTGTATATCTAAGTTCGTCAATTCTATACTCATCATTTAAAAACTCATTTAAACAATTAAACAATACAACATAGTTTAAACGTTTGAAATAAAAAGCTATATTGTATAATCTTTTTACCATACAATAATACTTAAAAATAAATTCATTATTATATCCTTCGTCGTCACATTCTAATAAATGATCAAACCCTTCTATAGTTAAGAAATTATTCATTTCAATAAACACAAATATTTCTAAATCATCATCAAGAGTTGCATTATGTATAATATCAATATCTTTGTTATTCATATCATCATTTTTTTTAAAATATAATTCTATTGCAATTATTGCATATCATATATTGACAAATATTATTGCAAACGCCATTTGCAAAACTTCGTTCAATTGGTCATTTCAGCATTTCACAGTCTTTACATTTATAACTCATAAACTTGTTTTTCAATATATTTTTAGCATTGATACCGACTGTATCACTCATTTCACTACAATATATTAAGTTATTATTTCTTCAAGTCATTTTGACATCATAAATCTTACAATGTTTTTTTATTGTAAGGTTTATGGGTTAAAATAATGGTCAGGTAACAAGTCTTCAAATATGTAATCTACATATTTATCTATATCATCCTTATTTATTTGATATTGTCTTTTCCTATTATTGAATAAATATATTCCCAAAAGAATAAATACAACAATAGACATACTTTATATTTAGTGTTGTAGTAATACCATATACTATATTCAGTTACTTTAAATTCGTTCAAGACTTCGTTTATTTTATCTTTGTCTAATAAATGCCAGTCAATCCATTCAAACAAATAACGGTATTTTTTGACAAATGCTTTATATGGTTTAATTGCGTTTGTTCCTCCAAACCTCCTAATTAAATCTATAGTACTAAAGAATTCATCAATTTCATTTTCAAATGACTTTCTGGAAATCTTCTGGTAAAAGTGTATAGGAAATCTTGCTTGGTGTCGCATAAATAATTTTAATTGTAATTGAAACTTTGTATATCCCTTATCCTTATGTTCTTCAAGAAACAACTTTTCAAGGTCTCTTGTTATACAGCATTGATTGCAGTATACATTATATTCACTTATTTTATTACATACATTTGCTGGTAGTATATGATGTAAGGTTAAACTCAAATCATTCATTTTGCATTTACAGCATTCGCACTTGTTATAGTTAAACAACATTTCACTAATATTATAAGGCGTTTTTTCTTTAATTGTATTTTGTTTAATATTAAACTTTCAATAATTCGTGTCTCAAATAAGGATTAGTTTTTATTGCAAATGAAAGTAAGATTGCCCTAATTTACTATCAATTGATTTTACTTTAAATACTTCTTTTAACCAATGACTGGTATGTGCCTTTTCGCTTATGCCTTTCTTCCTCATTATTTTTACATTACTTCCTACGTCTAATTCAGGATACATTCTAGTTTTCTTTGCTTGCATTGTAATATTCATTTTTACCTCAAATTCATTCTTTTTTAATCTTGCCTGTGCTGGAACAAAGCGGGTGGCAGAATGCACCATCTTATTATTGTAAGTTAATAATATTTCAAAAATATAATCCGTCCATTGGATATTCTGCTTTCCATTTTTTCTTGTCTGCTTCAACTCGTTTAAACAGTTGATCTTTAAAAGTCTGAATTCCACGCTCCGCAAATGCTGGATGACCTCTAGTTCTATGTAATTCAATTTTCTCCTCCTTCAAATAATCTAATACTGATTGATTAAAAAACTGCCTTCCTCGTCGGTATAAATTAATTTACACTTCCCGCCCATTTTATTTAGGTTCTCCATCAACCCTGCTAAAATGTCTGGCGGTTGCTTTGACTTGATAGGCACTATGTGCATATATTTGCTAAAAATATCAATGCATATCATTCCAATTCTAAATGGTTGATTTTCCGAGTCATTTTTAGAAATGAAAAACATATCAACTTGGATTTCCCAGAATGCGTGTGGCGCAATAAAACTATTTTCACCTCTCATTTTTCTTTTCTCTTCAATGTTTTTACTAAAGAATTCATTAATATCGTTAATTGTAATATTACTATCTTTTTGCTTAGCATCCTTGAGGGTTGTTTGTCTTGAACCATAACCGCTTCTATCATAATATACATTATGTATAATTCCTTGTTTAAATGCCATATAAATAAACAATAAATTATCTTAATCTAATTATTGTAATTGCTTCTGCTCTTGGCGCTTTTCTCTTAGTTTTCTGTTTATTTCTTCCTTGTTTGCTTCTTTTCAATATCTGTAAAATCTAACCTTATTTAAATCTCGTGCCCTTGTGCAAGCAACATAAAACCATTCTTTCGTAGCGTGTTCATTGGTCCAATCATAAATTATAACATTATCATCAATTGAAAAACCTTGACAAGAATGGGCAGAATAGCAATAACTGTAAATAAATTTGTCTCTTAAAACATCTATTGAGACAGTTTGTGTTTCCATTGTTTTAATATTATGTAGTCTGATATTCCTA